GCGGCTTTGTAAAATGCAGTGAATCCGGCGGGTTGATTCACGACAAATCTTCAAATCTTACTTGGCAGGATCAATGTTATATTAATAGTAACATTAATGTCTAAATTTTTTATCTCCGACCAACTAACAACATTATGATAAATGAAAAATAGATATCCCAAATAAGGCTTACCCTCTAGGCTTACCCTCTAGTTAAGGGTGGTCTCCCATTGACCGTCAGCATACAAGCTGATGCAACCAGGTAACCAACGCAGAGCGGGTAGGGAAAAAACCGTCAACTAGCACAGGCCTGAATGCTGGACAACAGTATTTAAAGCCCGCCATTTCAAAGTAATGCCCCGCTTCTTACAGGTAAACCAATTAGTTCCAGTCTAACCAGATAGTACCGTCTACTGATTTGTTCGCCTTTGTGCGGCAACTCCAATCAAACATATCGGTCGCCTACTTCGCAGCCGTGCCGTCTGGTCATGCTAAAAATATGGAAAGCAGGCAACCAAGGTGCTTGGGATCTCATTCTAAACTGTAACTACAGTGTTTAAGCTTCGTCGCGCTATTTGTTTTTGTGATCTGGACAGTTTTAGGCTGTGAGAAGAACATGTTGTTAAGGAATGTCGGGCAAAGAATATCATATCCATAGAGCATGTGGGGTTAATTGTTACAGTAAAACAAGAATGTTGAGAGAATGTAGAATATATCATCCAATTCGTCTGTTGATAAGCCACCGTCACATTTACTACCAGTTCTTTAGAGGACAGTTACTATAACCGCTAATAATATAAGAACTGTTTCACTCTCGAACCGATTTTGGAAGGATACTCATTACATGCGTATTCTGACGGGATATTGATTAAATCCGAACTCCTTCACGATGTCAGCACTATCAGCCTCGCAAATTCTCCAGCAACTGTAAGAAGAAAAAAAAACATATCGCACACCGGACAGATAAAATAATAAAAAAAATAGATATCGAACTCCATTTCCCAGCATAACTCCAGCTGATTTGCTGGGGTTGATCACGTTGGGTCAATGCATATATGCGCAGTGCCGAGTCAGAATGGGCGCCCACTGTCAACAGTAGGTACCCGTTCTGACTCAACTCGGCAAAAGTAGATATAAAAAGGTAGTTGATCTGCAAATCTCGTCAGTTCGCGATCCTGGACCGATGCATCCCTTGACTGCAGAGTTTCCATTGCAGACCATTTCGAAATCTTCACCCACCCTCAACAACGACCTACATGCTTCTTAAAATGAAGGTCTTGATCGTCATTGCTGCCCTCGCCACTCTGCTGATGCCCGTGTAAGTACCTGTCGACACCTGCGTACACATGCCGTCTTTTACTGACTTTTGTCTTCAGTCACGGTGCTCTCAGACAGTGTGCTGGAACACGTCCTGACAACAGATATGAGAGCTCTGGGTACTTGACCGCCGACTTCACCCAGAAAGCTTGCGATGCGTCAGGCGGTTCGATCGATCCGAGCAGGAAGGGCAACCAGAAGTGCTGCAACGTTCCCGATACCCGCCAAGGCGCTTTTAACGATTCTTGCAACGGACAAAAGTCCGACAGATTCCCGAACTACCGTCCCACTGCTCAGCCGTGCTAGATGGAAACATGCGGGAGATCTGGGCTGCTGGGCATACCATTATATGCCTCCATTGTGGGGAGAACTTCGTGATAGAGAAATATAGCCCTATCACGTCGTAATGACAATAGATTCACTTCTTTTGCTATCCAAAGATCTCCACTTCAAAAAATTACCACTATTTACGCTGGCACACGTTGTTGTCCTCCGTTGCTAGTAGAGTTAGCGTGTTTAAATTAAATAACGATCGCTTATTCTGGTGTATTGATCCTGATTATAGTATACGCCATCCACGAAACCGAGTTACGTACTGCTGTTCACAGTTACTGTACGTTACAAAATATTTTTTTTTGTTGAGAATTCCTAACTGCAGTTGTCTTAACGTTAAAATGCCCGAATTTTTCGTGAAACTGCTATTTTTGTGGTAAGATTTAGCACAAAAAATCACATTGGTCAAAGCTCCAGCGGAAATATATCACGGCCCGTGATATGATCGAATACATACTCTTGTAATGTAGTAAATGAACTGGTATATTGATATACTAACTTTCTTTCAGCTTAAATCGTCCAGCGACATTGGACGATTTAAGCTGAAAGAAAACTTACTATAGCAATATATATAGCTGCTGCACCCTACTAGCAAGACCGTTGTTATTTTTTAACCAAGTCTTATGAGCATGTAATGGTCTACGATTGTAAATGATACAGCATCCTCGATACGCCGAATTACTTAAACACAATCTACTTTATATTTTTCACCAGAAAGGACCGATTGTTTCGCTTTCCTGCTTATATATCGTTTCTTTATGTCAGCCTTAAGAGATCCGTTTGCAAAGTATAGGTCACAATTCGGATTTGATCTTGAGCACTGTTTATCTCTGTTCGCGCGTCTTGTGCCGCTCATTCGACTTGCTCTGGAGAAAAACCTTCCTCATGAAGACGACAGGGTTAAATGATGAATGCTTAGGTGGTTGTAATTTATTTCATTTTTTATCTCAGCCTACATATAGTTTTGTTGCGAAAATGTATAATCTGCAATTTTTTGTTTAGAAAAACCTACAAAATAGAAAATTCGCGAAAATCGCCGAACTGCTGTTTTTCTGTTAAGAATTTATTTTGTGAGGTACGGTAATAAATTCCCGATTCGGTTGTTCTTACTACTACTACAGCAGGACGTCACCAGCGCAATCATGGAGGTGTTTCGAAGCAGTCCTTACCCTCACTTTTTGTTCAGAGCTCATACTGTTTGCATTTTTACTCTCAGAATGATGCTCTGAATCCCTACTTCTACGGAAAACGTCGTGTAAGTCTTGCACTTTGTATGGAATTCATCGTGCAAAATGAACGACGAATTCCCTACAGGCAAAAATGTCAGGTATGAAAAGCGTATGATAAAATGTAAAAATGCAACCATTCACACGAATATTTCGTGCATTTTGCACGAATATTTCGTGCATTTTGCACGAAACATTTTAAGCGTACTGTAATAGGGCGTCGGGGCTACATTTGGCTACCACTCCAGGCGTTGAAGTTTCGCAGTGCAGTGGCTGTGAGTGCATCCCGATTTCGAGCGGCTGTGAGAAGTGTGCGAATACGGCCCGAATACGGCCAATGAGGGCCGCACAGTAGAGATGTAGAAGCGTGGGGTGTCGCTCGGCAGCACAAGGACAGACTTGAGAAAGCGAATGCGGCCAAGGACGGCCGAACAAGTGCTATCTGACGGGCTGAGGAGTCGCGGAAGGTGGAGTAGGCGCGCCCACTGTCTTGCAAGGATCGTGAGCGACGAGTGGGCTGGAGCCATGACCGAGGAACCAGCAATCTTGCGTCGCACGCAAGTAGTCGGGATTTGCGTCGGGATGCACCAGCGGTGCGAAGAGTGGTTCGGGAGAATCGAGGACAGAGAGAAGAAGAACGAAGGTCGTTGTGGACGTGGGCGTAGCTCGGAAAAGGTTGTGTTGGATGGTCGGCCCCAGGACGAGCTGACCGACTAAAGCGGAAAGGCGAAGTGTGTGGGTGGAGGCAAGTTGCAAACGTATGACGAGTGGCAGGCGAGCGGGGAAGGTCGTTGCGACGAGCTCCCTGTGACTGTTGAGCGGAGAAGAGTGGCTTTTACCCGTAGGTGGAACAGGTTAAGAGGTTGAAGATTGAGAGGAAGAGGAGTGAGTGACCTATGCGTGCGAGATGTTAAGGCTCGCGTGATCAACTACTTCATGCGTTGCGATGAGATCATCTTGCAGCACGGTATGACAAATCTATTCTCTACTGAAACGGGAATGAAGGAGAAGTGTAACATCCTCAGGAAACATCTTGAGCCTGTTCAGTTGCTTGAAGCTGTGGATAGCCATCTCCGCATCGTGGACGCAAGCATCAAATCCGATGAGAGAGCGCTCTACATGCTGGTGAAGGAAAAGGAGTTAGAGCAAGAACGAGTGTTTCAGTTTCTGGCCAAACACAGGCATCAATCAAGCACTTAGCGTAGCGTTGGGAAAACCAAGAATGAATGGTGACCAGCGGTCTCGTCACGGTAACCAGCGGCCTACTTCCGGCAGGAAGGTCAAGCATGTGTCCGAACGTCCCCCTTCTGTGCAGACAAATGCAAACCCAGAAGTAGTGACTCAGAGCAAGCCGCGAACTGGATATATTCACTGTGGCGAGGACCACTGGCTCAGCTAGTGTCCAGAATTAGACGAAGCTGCGACCGAAGCCATCTTGGCCGAAATGAAAGGGAAGAGAGGGGCTAGTAACGGTAAGATAAAGAAGTTTCGCTAGGAGCGCATCGATACACCCTCTACCGCAAACACGGAGAACTGCCCTACGGTTGTGATTAACGGAGCACTGGAGCTGCCTTATTGTGTCGACAGCGGCTCGGATATGAACATGATTTCACGAAAACACGTCGATCTGCTTTGTGTACAGGATACAGCTGTTGTGCTTGCCAAATTGGATGCACCGATCACTTCTAGGGCAGATGGCGAAGCGTTGCCCACTTCGACGCATACACTTAAAGTTCGACTGACTCGTAACACTGCAGCACGTCCTGTGAGATGCCAAGATGCAAAAATGTGTCTGATTGTCGAGAGCGACGAAGCTGCGTTCATTGTTGGAAAGCAGTTCCTGGTCGAGCTTGGAATCGACGCGGACCTCCAATTGGAGTATTTGGCCTCTCGTGGAACAGAAGACGATGACCCATGCGGTGATTCTGAAGGAATACTACCGTGCACTCCTGAAGCTAGTGGCGTTGTGGTGAACGTTGTTGATGCACTGATGCGTGACGCTGTAGACCGTGGTGCGATTGACGACTACACTACTAGCCGTCTGTATAAGATTGTTCGGAGGTATGATGGATGGCGTTTGGAGCTAGAGATGACCCGCCAGCGCGGGAAACCCCACTTAAGATCAGGTTGAAACCGAATACTACACTCTATCGGGCCCATTACAGAGGAAACCAAACACCAGGAATTCAGACAAACTGTGGATTATCAACCTACAAACGCTGTGACCAAACCGATCGCCGGCGCAATGCCAAGCCTTCAGGTGGCTCTCGAGCACTGCAAAGGCAATATGGTTTACGCAGTCTTCGACTTTTTAAAGTGTATACATGGCAGACCGGGGTGTCTTCACACCGACTCGAGTTCCGCAGGGCAACACGGATGCTGCACTGCATTTTCAGTCAGCAGTGGAAATGGTGTTGGGCGATCTGGTCAACGAGAACGTTATCGTATGGATTGATGATTTACTGGTTTTCGCTGACAATGCAGAAGAGTTGGTGAATTCGATCGATGCAGTACTGGCGAAACTAGATGAGGATGGACTTTTACTCAGCCCAGAGAAGAGAGATATTTTTCTCACTGAGATACGGTGGTGTGGCCGCATTATCAACTGCCACGGGATCGGTCATGACCAGATCGAATCCAAGCCCTACGTGACATGCTTGCGCCGCAGACCGCTGCAGAATTGCGCGAAGCCAGCAAGCGCGAAGGGCATGGTGATGACGAAGTTGTCGAGGAAGATGGCGATGGCAATAAGTTTGTGGATCGAATTGTTAAATCGGCCGAGCGTCCATTCAAATGTGATAGCTGGCTGCATGCGGCACCCCGAAGATCAGTGGGGTTCTCAACCGAGGCAGACGCTGGTCTGACTGCAACTTCTACAGACAACTCGGCCACCCAGCAGCCTGTCTCAAATTGCTCTCCAGAATCGCAATGCCCGCAGTTTCTCGCCCCACGTTGCCCATCAGTTGCACGGCCAACTCGGCTTTCACAGTCAAATCAAAATAGCCCAAGTGCTCGGCGTAGATCAGTTTCAACGGAGCCTCGAGTTCGACGCGTAGCTTCTCACTATCGGTTATTGGAGTTTGCTATGGACCAGTGCTCGGACGATTCACTATCCCGTTCATCCAACGAGCAACCAGTCGATCGGACGCTGCCCCAGCAAGATCGACCTTCCACCGATGCTGCCAGTACTGAGGCCGACGATATTCTTTTGCATTGGTGCGATTTTTTCTGCGAAATGGACGGTAATCCCCCCCTAGCTCCGAGGATTTCGACATGCACGAAGGAGAAGAGGAGGAGCTTGACGTCCAACCCGACGTATCACAGCTCCGTTTAGTACCCATTCCTGAAGACAATGACCCCCACTTCCCTCAAGAATCAAGAAAACTTCCGGAGCTACGAGGCAGGAAGATGCCGCTAGTGTAGTTATTCTCCATGCAAAGCACGCTTTATACGAGATGTGGGCGTGTACAAGCTCTTGAGAATTTCAGCATTTGAGTTGGTATATATTATTCTAAGATACTTCATTCTTGTCAAATTCTGCAAACTAAATGATGGGACGTATGATCGGGTTCAATTAATCCCTTGCTACTGTCAACCTCTCCACTCTTTCTTGCTCTTGAGTACGATGCTTGTTGCTGCGATGTAGCAAGTACGTACATACTGAGTACTAGGCTTTCCTTGATAGTTCGAGATTCTTGAGCTTAGGTCAAAGTGGGGACGACGACTTTGTCCATGGCCTGCTACTTCGATATAAAGAGGGGCTCGGTTTACAGGTTGGGCGCCAGGGTGTGCTTTGCGGCAGCAACGACGTCCTCAACCTGCGGGAGGTACACCTTGCCCAGGTTCTTAGCGTACGGTATCGGTAGGTCACGCGCTCAAGGGAAATGTCCAGATAGTCAAAGGCCTCCATCTCGATAATGATACCAACAATCTCGACGTCAATGCCGCTCTGGCCCCAGCCCTTCTCGATGGAAACAATGTGGTTGGTCGTCTTCACAGAGTCAATGATAGCCTGGCGGTCGAACGGCCGGATAGAACCTAGGTTGCTCACTCGGCGTCGGTTCCCTCTTAACAAGGGCATAAGGGCCTCGCCCACCGTGCGGGAGAAGGCAACTACGGTGACGTTCGTGCCCGGCATCATGACCTTGGCCTTGCCAAACTCAATCACAAAGTCCTTGTCCTGGGCCTCCTTGGACACGGAGAACGAGACACTGTACGTAAGCTCATTCTCAAGCACTACAGCCGGGTTCGGGCGTGGATGACAGCCTTAAACAGACCGCGAGCGTCCTCCGAGTCGTAGGGAGACACAATCTTGAGGCCGGGACGTTGCCATACCGGGCGGTGTTGCACTGCGAATGATGATAGGCTTATACAACAAACAACACGTAGCAATTAGAAATCTCGGTAACACAATATTTGGTTCCCAATAGAAAGGAAAATACATACCAAAACACCGGCAACAGGGCAGTTCAAGCCGCAGAAGACGATAGGCACGTGGATGTCGCCGTTGGGCATGCAGCTTGGCGGATGAGTTAATGATCTGGCCAATAGCCTGCTAAGTTGAACGTCATATAAGCTTGGTGTTGTGGTGGACAGCGCCGACGGCCAGACCCGAGAAGCCCAGCTCTGTCTTGGGCATGTCAATGATACGCTTGTAACCGTACTTCCCCCCCCCCCCCCCCGCAGACATTTGGAAATCTTGTAAGCGCCGTTGTACTCGGCAACCTCCTCACCCATAAGGAACACCTCGACGTCACAGGGCAGCTCCTCGCCCATGGACGTGCTCAGAATGTCACGCATGTTCATCTCGTCAGCGACAGTGGCTATGAAGCAAAGCAGAAGACTTGAAGGCAATGCCAGTGGTCGTCAGGACACGACTGCTTAAAGTGAGGGTGGGGGAAGATTGGTCTGCTTCTTACGCCGCAAACTTGAATATCACTGTCTGTGGCTCGACCTCCTCGTCAGTGGCCGCACTTCTAAGAAACGCCAGCAGCAGCGGCAACATTGACCTTGCGCTACGTCGCTTTTCGCCCAGCTGAGACTCAGGTCTTCGTAGCAATGACCTTAATAGTGGACTATTGACGGAGGATAGCATAATGAAATCAAGGTTTATTTTTACGGATATCTCTGAAACGACACCCGTAAAAAGGGCTTAGAGACCTCGAAAAGACCGTTTTGACGCCTCAAAAGACGTCTCAGACGTCTTTATATAGACGTCATTACCAGCTAGATTAAACGAATTCCTATATTATTAATAACGAATGGCATAGGGTAGAAAAAGGCAGCAAAAATCTTCGGTTTGAAGGGGTTACGTATTATTGGAGTAATTTTGAGTCGAAGCTCCCATTCTTGAGAAAATCTGAATCTAAATCCAGAGAAATGCAGCTTAGATTATTGATTGATTGCTAACACATTGAAATGTTAGCCTCTTGCACATATTCAATCTCCAGCTTTAATCATCGAAAGATCGCCATGCAGAGCGAGGTATTCTTGTCCAGGTGCTTCTCTTGGGCTGATTGCGACAATAAAGGTGGAGAGCGCACTAAGTAGCAGGCTGCAGTGGCAGTTTTGGTTGCGTACATGTTCCCTTACTCGCAACTTGGTGATTCTCAGGATTTTTGGCAGCACACGACCTCAAGTGCGGCGTGGCGGCGGCGCTGGGCGTCCGACCGTCTAAAGTGAGATTGCTTAGTGCAGATATTGAACAGTCGAGTCAACGGACTAAATGCAGAGATGAAGTTGCTGCTGACCCAGATGTTCCGAGGTTGTCATGTTCCCGACCACGAGCTTCACGTCACACGCGACGAATTTGTGTCGGTCATGACGCCGAGATTGGCCAGGACGGACTTGCTGGAAAACGTGAGGAGGCTCTTCAAGGCGCTAGACTTGAAAGCCGAAGGATTTATCTCGCTACGCAGCTTCCAGCAGGTCAGCGACAAAAATCATTTGCTTGTTTCATGAAGTAATACTCACTGCGTCCAGTTAAGACGTGTGAGATGACGCTGCCTCTCGCGAACCACGAAACGATGCTACGTGCATTTCATGAAGCGGATCGAGACGGCGACGGACGGGTGCGTCACTTTTTCAGTAGCAACAAAGTCATTCTAAGTAATATCGTGCTATCAGGTGACATATCAAGACTTTGAGCGGATGTGTCTGCTCGCAGTCCAGATCGAGACTAGCAATAAATAAAAAAAAATCAGCAAATAGAAAAACGGATTGTAAGGTGCAGATAGACGTAAGAAACCAGGTAACAGAATACGATGACGCCTTCAGTCTTGTCTCTACTCTGAGAACGAAATCTTTGGTGAAAGGATTGAGAATGGCCTCCCCCGGAAGCCCGAGCAGCGACGCGCAGCAAGAAGCGATCAAGTCCCGACTGTTTGCGGTGCTGCGAAGACCCGAGAACGATCAATGCGCGGACTGTGGAGCTGCTACTCCGAAGTACGTTTCAAGACTCATAGTTCACGAGTTACTAGAGGTTTAACAGATACTTTCGCTTAGATGGGCGACTGTGACGCACGGTGGCTTCATCTGCACTCAATGTGCAGGTGTCCATCGCTCTCTGGGCGTTCACGTGTCGTTCGTGCTCAGTGTCATGCTCGACAAGTGGACAGACGAACAGGTCACCACTATGGACAAAGGTGGCAACGCTAAACTCAACAAACAACTCGAACGTACTCTCGCTCTACAACTCAAACTCAACGGTCAAACCCCCAAGAAACCTGAAGCACAGACGCCACGAGCTGAGCGAGAACTCTTCATCCGCGCCAAATACGAAGAGAAAATGTTCGCTGGAGGCGTGGCCAATTCCCCTCCAAAATCTCCGTCCAGACGTAGTCCCACAAAAGCTACAACTCAAGGAATGGTCGAGTACACTGGCGTTGTGGTGATTGACCTCAAAGAGGCCAAAGAGCTCGCCGGCATGAACATCAGTGGGAAATCAGACCCGTACGTGACCTTCCGCTTGGGCGAACAAACTATCAGCAGTAAACGCGTGGACAACAGCGTCAATCCTCAATGGAACCAGCAACTTATGCTCTCCTGGGACGGCACTTCTCCGCTTGAGATCGAGCTCTACGACTACAACAAAGTCAATGCAGATCGGCCCATGGGAGTCTTCGTTATTAGTGCTGAGCAGCTCTCGGCTCTCCCTGAAGCTGGAGACTCGGATGGTCCCTATGAAGATTGGTATCCTGTCATAATGCCTCGAGACTGGGCGACAAACTTCAGTGAGCACATGGTAGCTGGCGCTGAAGGAGTCACTAAGGGAATCTATCGTGGTATTACTGGAGTATTCAAGGACCCGATCAAAGGAGCTCGAGAGAATGGACTTGAGGGCTTCGCTAAAGGCGTCGGCACTGGCGTCGCTGGCGTAGTTTACCGTCCCATTAAAGGTCTTGGTGCAATGGTCAAACATTCGGCGTTATCTGTCGGAGTGGGCAGGAAACACCGCAGCAACAGCACAAGCAGCGAGAACGATGGCAGCCGGTCGCCAGACACTCGAGACTACGTGGCTGCGGGGTCGGTACGCATTGCCTTGTCCCTACAGAAATTCTCGTAAGGTATCGACGATGCCGTAAAATACACACATTTAAGCCAAAACGTGTAATTTATTCGTTCACTCTCTGGTTCACTGTCACACATCTTGGTCTGTTCTGTTAGATTTTTTGTTTCCTACATGAGGGTTCGGAAGTTCAACAGTTCACTTTTCACCCGACGGAATTGTTCTAGCAACGTCGACGCCTCTCCGCTCTCGTCTAATAAAGAACAAAATAATGTCAGTCATGAAAAAAAAAATGAGAATATAGTAAGCGTACCCTGTGATGTGGCGCGCAGATCCGTGATAAATCCATCGCAGAGGTCCACGACGTTGGGACAGCAGGCCGCAAACTCTGCGAGTTGGTCCTTTCCAGCACGAGGAGAGATGGCGTGTTTCTTCCAGATAGTAATAATGGCCAACATCGACTGTAGCAAGTGCAGCGTCCATCCTTCACGATAAAGTCGTTCCGGTTGTTCACGGTAGAGCTGTTCGTAGTAGCTGAGCAGTACTCGGTGCGGCACACCCACGTCCAGGAAGAGCTTGAGCACCCAGTTGAACGTCGTAGCGTCAATAGCAGCGGCCGAGGCGACACTTCCAGTAAACGCACCGATACCCGTTGATCGGATATACCACAGAGAGATCCACTCGAGCACATCGGCCAGGAAGCCCACAGGGAACACGAACTCTCCAATGTCAGCCGAGCCACCGTGTCTGTCGTCGCCTTCCAGGTACAGCGACTTGCCCAATCTCAGTATCTTGCACTGCATCTGACCAATCCAGTTGCCACTCTCGAAAGAAGAGCCTCCTCCCGTACTACTCGAAGTAGCCAGTAATCCAGCCTTCTCGCACTGATCCAGTCGCCACGCGTTGAATGCTGCGTTGTTGGAGGATTGAGGCAACAGACTGAAGATGATCTTCCGCCACAATGACGCGATTACATCGGCTTCCTCGGACTTGCACACGTGGATAATGTGCAGACATTCCGTCCACATGTCGTACTTGGACGCGAAGCGGTTGTACAGTGTCGACGCGTCAAAGAGCTTGAACGTGAGCAGCTGCAAGTCCGTCTTGCGTTGTCGTAGCTGTTCATCTGAGGAAGAAGCTTCCAACTCGATCACCTGTTGCTCCAGCGCCTTAAGGACTCGAACCTGCAACTGCAACACATCCAGCACGTCGCGTACTTCCTTGATAGCCTCCGAGGCCTCACCCACATCTTCCAGACTCTTCAGACAGCCCAAAGCCTTGGACACGTAGTACTGACGCTTGACAATGTCCGGGTTATTGGAGACCACCAGTGCAGAGGTAGACGCGTACTCGTCTTCACCCATAGAGTCCTCGTGCGCACGGGCCCACCACACTTTAGCTGCTACGAGATACTTGTGTTGATCCATGTAGAGCTTGACGAGCAGATCTTGGTCCTTCTCCTTCAAAAACTCTTCAATGTACGGAGAGCGGATAGACGTCAGCAGATGGGAGTGGCCGCGTTCGTATAGCCACGTGTACAGCAGGTTATGGAAGCTGTCGTCTTCTGAAGCCAATGCGAAGTGGAAGAGTTCTTCCACATACTTATTCCTCGTCTCGTCGTCCAGTGTCACCATCTCTTCAACGGCCTGTGGACTCGCGCTCGCTGTGTCTCCACCCAGAAGCTTGTGCAGAGCGAGCAAGATGCAGCCAAAGCACCGCTTCTTCCACGTCTGCTTAACACCGCTGAGATCCGAAGCTGCTGCGTCGTGGAAGTGCTTGGCGCAGGCGAGAGAGAGCTTCACCACGCCTTCGTAATAGTTGAGCAGAGTGTAGTCTTCGCAGATGCCCTGGAGAACATCCAGACAGTCCTCAGTGTCCCACATGTGGCACGAGTTCAAGAATTGATCCAGAGATTCCTTTAAGAAGTTTTTGCGAGCAACAGGAGAGCCGCTGAGCTTGGCATTCGACAGGCTTCGGTATCCCTGATAGTGCCACAGATCCGACACGGAGAAGAACGTGGGGCACTGCTCACGCAGCTGCTTGATCAGGAACTGGTTGTTCTCGTTGCGGCCACGCATCAGAGCCTTCGTCATGGTCTTGGCCGCTAGCGCACCGTCCGTCGTCGTCACCAGGTCGCTGAAGCTGAGACGAGCAAGAGGTTCCTCTAAAGAAACCTTGTACTCCTGAGCAATCCGCAGCAAAGAGATGGCCTCAATACTACGCAGTACCAACTGGTACAGATAGTACAGAGATCGCTGCTCGGCCTTGAACCGCGTCTCGCGCTTGAGCTGGTCCTCATTGAGTGATTTCTGGTGACGCATCACGAGCTCCGACACACGAGATAGCCCAACCTCCGTACTCTCGCTCAGCACGCCGTCTAAGCTCGGATTGTTCTCTAGTGCTGCGCCTCCACTGATTGACACAGCAAACGGCCCAGCACTCTCCATGAGCTGTCGTAGCTGGAAGAGAATCTCGCGGATCTCGTCCAGTTTCTCAGGAGAATGGACGTTCTCGAAGCTCGTCACATACCCAGGAGACTTGGCTGACGGCTTAGAGTTGGAGACACGGGAGACTACACGTCGGCCGAGCGTTTTGGAAGTCCAGAGAGGACGCAACACACGACACGCGAACGCGACCAGACCGTCGTGTTGGTACGACATGCCGAACTCCGTGGTCAGCACGATACGCGTACTTGAAGCTGATGACGTCCCGTTAGACGTAGAGGTAGCGGGCTCCACGGCCACGTTGTCAGGAGGGCCCTGAGCGATCTCGAAGATACTCTGCACAGCGGCCGTGTAGATATAATCGTCACTCTTCATACTGGCCAACCCGCCAGGACGCGGCGTGATCAAGGAAGCGGTCGTGGAAGTCTCACTGACTAGAGGATCAGTGGGGACACCACATGCCAAGGCGATGAGCATACATACCACCTGAATTTCACCAAAGCAGCGAACAAACGGCGTCAGCACAGCCTTGTGGTCATGGCCACGAGAAAGCAGAAGAACACGGTGAAGCTGATCCAGCGGTCGAATCTTCTTGAAGACCTGAATACCAGCGTTCGTCAGACACAAAAAGTGTCGCGAAGGTTGAGAATACATGAGCGCCATCTCTCCGACGACAGGCGCGTTCTCCGACGCACTTCCAGCTGGGATTCCGGTATTCATTTCGTCGAATGAACGCTTGCTACCGCTGTTGGCCCCCTTTGTGCTCGCATTAACAGCCGCGATCGCCTCGGCGTGCGCCATCCACGAGCTCTCCGAACCCTCGCTCGAATGCGGATCCAGTTCTTGAATATCCACAACCTTGCCGATGCAGGTGTCCAAAGAAACAGCTTCTCGGATCGTTGGCTTCCTGGCCGCCAAGCCTGTATGTACGGGGAGTGCTGTGGTGCTAATAGGGTCGTGAGCGATGCCCACAAGCTGGTCCTGTTGGTCTCGTCGGCCTTCGATGCACAGAAAGACGCCCTTACGGTGGAAGGCAACGTGCACGGCGCTAGGACTCTTGCCCGGTGCGTAGCCTGGCTGCATCCCTTCCTTGGAGTGGTACGGCGGTGCGTCACGCAGTGAGATCGCCGGAGGAGGCAGACGAATGTGAAGAATCTCGAGTCTGGACGGACGTTTGGCTCGGCCATAGTTGCCAGCTCCAGAGTACGTGTATCGACGTGAAAATACCGTCAAGTAGAAGCGGATACCGTTGGATGTGACGGCCACAAGCGTCACCACCTTGGACTCGTCCGGCGACACGGTAGACAGCGCGACAACCTTCAAAGGATTAGGCGATCCGGCCACGGCCGGCTGGAAAAGTCTCTCATCAGGACAGGATACGCGTGTCCGGCGGTTCTCGCGCGCGTATTTGGCCCCGTCGGCCAGCAGGTTTACGGCACAGACTGCCTTGATCTCGTCTCCATTGGCTCCCAGGTCGAACACGCTCACTTGAGCGTCGTCGTGTAGCACGTAGAGAATGTGTCGCGAGTGGTCCACACACATGTCCACTACCTTGCCGGGTGCGCTGGCCAGGCCGGCCAGGAACCGCGGCAGATACTGCGCGTAACTGGACGTGTGGGCCACTTTCCTGCAACCTTCCGACGCTCCAACTCCAGGTACATTGGTCAGGGCCGATCCGAGCAGCGAGTTGCGGTCGGCCGCGGCCTTCTGTTCTGGTGCGTACAGGAACTCATACAACACACCGTCGGATCCTCCGAAGAAGATGCGACCACTGCGCGTCGTCACGACCTTGCGGACTACACACTTGTCCGTACTGACACTAAGCTTCGTGCTCTGCAGCTTGAAGCTCATGGACTCGGGCTGATTGTCGTCGGCCACGACGGCCAGAAGCACCACTTCCACGGTAGTGGCCACCACAAGCACGTGACGGACTTTGGACGTGAATACTCCAGTGGCCGGTCGGGCCACAAGTCCTACGGCCACGATGGCCTGGTCAAACTCTTTAGCGGCGAAGCGGCCGCGCTGTGCGTAGCTCCAAAGGAAGAGGCGGTTGTCCACGGACGTCCAGGCTGAGCGGATCTCCGGCAACAGGCCGGATAGCGACAATGTCTTAGCATCGTCCAGAGCAGCGGCCACCACGCCCGGCAAAGGGATCACGGAGCCCTTCTTGGCCACCTGTGGGGTCCATTGCGACGCGTATGGCTCGAAAAAATAGTTCTGAGGCTCGGACTGAGCGTTAAGCTGGTCGGCCAGGTCCGGAAACGACGCGTCCTCCTGCGTGGCCTGGTCCACACGCGTCTTGGCGTCTGACAGGCCCTTGAACGTGCGCTCCACCGACTCCATGCCGACTATGGGGACGATTGGGCGCGATGTTGGGGTTTGCTTGGTGTTGGCGATGGTGGGGGATCAATTCAAATTTTTGTCCAATCATCTTCGCAGAATAGTTTTCACTTTGGCTGTGTAAGTAAAAAAAAAGCTTGAATGACAAAAAAATAGCCCTGATGAAATTGAATGTCGACAAAACAAAACGCCCAGTGAAGCCATCTCGGTTATCTTACTTGGCATTTTCGTCACTACAGGCATTGTATCTCTCTTGTACTGCTACGTGCTACGTGGTGCGGTCGCTGATCAATTGGAGATGAACGAGAACATGGATGGTTCGGGCTCTTGCAGCACGCTGCGCTGGGATTGCGACTGTGACACAGACGACGAAGCCACAGTCGGCGTCGTGGACGACGAGTTGCTGCCGCGCATGAAGCCAAATGCAGTCGGTGACGTTGGCTGCGTGCTTGTCGAGCTGCTGTCGAATTCTGCCGCGTTGATAGTAGACATGAACCCAAATGAGGACCGCGTGGACTCCGTAATTGTCGGAGCTTGATCTGTCGACTGAGACGCCATAGGTGGCCGACCTGAAGCCGTCGAGCGCAACGAGGCCTCCAGATCACTGAGACCCATGGGTCGGCCATGACTGCTCTTGGTTAATGTGTCGTACAGCGCAGGTGGAGGTCTAGTTGGTCGCTGGGTATCGTTCTTCACGCTAAGTCCAGCAAACATTGGCTGTTGCGGGGTATTCTCCTTTAAGCTGAGTCCTGCGAACACGTTTGTAGCCACCTCCACTGCTGGTCTCGCGCCATCTGAGGCTTGCCTAGCGATAATTGGGGCAGCAGCGGCAGGTTGTTGTGCGTTATCGCGGAGGAAGCTGAAACCGTACGAGTTGTTGTCTTGTACCGGTGCCGACGGTGGCACAATAATGTTTCCGCCATGAACATCAGCCACTTGTGGGTTCGCATTGGCGTTCAAAAACTGGAAGCCCGAGTCGCCCTGTAGCTGTGAGATTCCCAGTGGCGGGTCATTCACTGTGCTATTCGAGTCTCCGCCAACAAAAGCAAACGCCGACACAGGGTGTTTCTCCTCATCTGATGCAGCCACACTGCTATACGGAGGAGGAGGATCTGTACTAGCGGTACTCTGGATGAGTCGAGCCAGATCATCAGCCCTGCGCACGAGAGTCGACCGGAACTGCTTGACTTCCTCATAATTTGGTGGCCGGTGCTCCCCGAAAATGACTGAGTCGATGCCTTGTGTCTGGATCTTCTCCACTGTACCGTGAAGTTGTGCAAGTTGGTTGCGGCGGTCCACCACGGGCTGTCCTCCATGCTCGCGACGGATGATTTCTTTCAGCTTCGTCTCGATCTCGGCCAAACTGCTGCTGTATCCGTTCAGACGAGTCATAAACGCCTCGCCACTAGAGTTTCCTGGCGTGTAAATATCCTCTGACTCGGGTTGAGCTTGATCCTCCGGCTTATTCTCTTCATCCGTTGCAGCGTCTTCTTCTTCTTCTAATGGCGGAGGAATGTATGGCACTTGAAGCGTTGAAGGGTTCGCAGTCCGGCCTTGTGTCATAAGCTTCTTGAAGCGCAGTAGTTTGGGTGCATTGGCTAGTGATCCTAGTATAGGACCGACCTCTGCTAGCCCCTTGTTCTCAACGTAAATCGAATTTATACTAATCAAAGCGCAGCCTGGGCAGATAGCTGGGTGGAGCTCGAGATATCCACGCCCACCTGTCGGCAAAGGCACGAAGCGCTCGATCACAGTCATATCAGGAATTGTGCGGTCCAGCATCACACCCATGGGTCCAGGAGGGACTTCGATCTCCAGTATCACTTCACGCAATGGCTCGGTAGGTTGCGTAGGTTCTGGAGCATCTTCATACCCGCCGTGCACTGCGTCAGATGACGGTTTGTATGCATCAAATGATTCCAACGCTTGGGCGCCATCGTTCGCGTCCAAACCTTCAAAGGCATCGTGAATCGGGTCGAACATCTCGGGTTCCTCCTCTTTCTCTTCTTTCTCTGGCTCATTTATCTGCGTTGGCTGCAACATCGTCGGCTCAGGGAGTGTATCAAACACCGTGTGACGGCGTTGAGACACGTTAGTCGGTGCTGCTTGTGTTGGAGCAACAGTTGACGCCGAATTTGATTGCTGAGGCTGTTGGCCGCCCATAAACGCGAATGCTGACGGTGCTTCAGTAGTTGACGACGATGGAATGCCATGCTCAATAGCATGAATGCTTTTTCCCGCGGATGGCTGGTTTATAAAGCCGAAACTGGACGAGTCGGATGATAGAGACGGCGCGCTGGGCTCTGGGTTAACATTCTGTGGGATAAAGCTAAAAGCTGATCCACCTGTCGGCGGAGCTGGTGTCATGGCTGCTGGTGGCGAGTCTACTTCTCCACCGTTAACAGAGAGGAAGCCGAAGCCCGAGTTACTGACCGGAGGAGTCATCGGCTCAGCTGCTCTCTGCGCCGGCGCGTACTCCTGTTGCGTTGGCTGCGCCAAGAAGCTGAATGCTGATCCTTCCTGAGCTGCTGGACCGGGTAGCGGCGCGCTGCTGCTACGCGGCGAGTCGTTCATATCCATCATCAAGTCGTGCGGCGTCTGCTGGGACGCTACAACGGGAGACGTGTGCATCAGCGTGTTCATCTCCGGCGCCGCTCTGGCCTCAGCCTCTTCAGCTTCCTCCTCCTGCATCCTCCGCATCATCTCCAATGGAGTTTCCTCGTCCGGTGGCACGTAATCCTTCAGCAACGCGTACACTTTGTCTGCACGCTTACGCAGCATATCCTTCCTGGCGTTGCGCAGGTCCTCCAGTAAGTCCAGACGTCCGCTGTAGTATTGCTTGTAGAATTCTGCCTCTCCGCTGCCCAGCAGCGCGCTGAGCACGGACAAAGCCTTGGCCTTGACCTGCCACAGCGGACTCTCGAACTTGTCATCCAGCAGCTCGCAGATGTACTGTCATAAAAGCATCAATATTAATGTAAGGAAAGATAATTAAAATAACACAGATACTTTACGCACGTCGTGGTCCAGTGTGTGCAGATAACGCAGCAGTTTTTGCAGCACTTCACGTGGCGGGAAGGACGAAGACCCGACTGAGGAGCAGAGCTCAGAGACGAGAGCGTTCTCCAGGTCCGCCTGATGCTGTGCTGACTGCTGCTGCGCCGGAGTCTTGAAGCCCTGCTTCCATCGGGCAGCCTGTGACGCGTACGTCGACTCGGGCGCGGGCCGCCGCTGGCTGTGCATGAGGAACGAAGGAGCGTCTAGCTAGGTAGATGGTTGTATGAATGGGGGAGGTAGAGAATGACACGACCAGATTTTCTACCAATCATTGTGCGTAACTTTGAATTGAAGCGATATGATTGGAGGTACCGAGAATTATACATCTGATTCGCAAATGATGGCAGGCGACCTACACTTGTTGGGAACGTCCCTCCCAGAAGGACACAGCGGCACACTGGAAATGTGTGACGCGTAATGCGGGTTCAGTGGTGGAGAATGCCCGGATCGCATTACATGAAAAAAAATGTTGGAACAGTACAGCCGATGAATTAGTTCTTCTAGCATTTGACCCTCCATATTAATACAAATTTTGTGCTGTGCTTTAAGTATCCCTCAACTTCGCAAAAAAACAAACTAGAAATCTAAGCGTCTCAAAAGAAAATAGCATTGTTGTGACGATCTACGGAGCGAACATTGGTCTGGATGGGTGGCGGTAACTGGCTGTCGTCTTCAGCTAAACAAACTGCACTGTTGTCCACTTCGCCATGATGATTTCGTCGAGGTGTGTCGGTGTCATTATCAGCAACCTCCGTTTCATACGCCGAAGCTACTTCACTGGTACCGTCGAAGTCGTCGATAGAAGCGAAACTTGACTGCGAGAACAGCGTCTGTCTTTGTGAATAATTGGAAACAGAGGACGGACCGTGTCGGTCTGCATCAGCAGCTCGTTGATGCAGTGCGTGCTGGAACCTCGCGCCATCCTTCCTCCTAGAAACATTCGAGTCGACGACGCTGAGCATGTCAAGGTCTTGCAACAACTGGCCCAGACAGACTCGGTGTTTGAGCTGAGCCACCTTGGGCTCTGTCAGTGAGGCACTACCAACACTCAGGAAGATATGATCACGTGTTACTTGACACGAAGTGAAGAAATGGAAGCGAAGACTGAAAAAGGGCGATTCCAAGTACTCGTCCCAAATACTGGCCTCCTCTCCGCTGTTAGTGCTGGAGGTTCCGTTAGAAGTGTTCGATGGATCTTGCTTTCCCTCAGAGGCCACCGCACTGTCCGCTGATTCCTGAGTCCGCTGCAAGAACTGCCACACTGTTCCGCTCAACGTCACGCTGTCCGCCGAGTATTGGCACTTGCCGAAGTCCCCCGTCTCGACCCTCAACTTAGGAGGTTGAGTGGTGTCATCAGTGACCACAGATACCGAAAATGGTGTGAGAGTTTGTCCTGGTTCCAACTGCGATACGTCCGATGGAACTTCGAATAAAACTCGCACCGACGGATTCTTCACTGCAACTTTTAGGCGATCACCCGGTAACTCAACTTCACTTTGTAGCCCATTATCCTGAAGCGAATCAAGCAGAAACTTCGACAGCACTAAGGCACCGTTCTCGTGCGTTCTAGTCAATGCACACGCCGGAGGTTCGTTCGCACTCTGCCTATTAATTTCTACGCCGTCACGTGAAGATAACGCCGCCAAATCGGTGAGAGGGATCACCACTGATCCAGAACATGGACCTTTGCCAGAGAATTCTCTAGCCTCGACGAACAACCGACTCATAAAGCCACTCGGAAGCACACCACGGAAAATCACGCCCAGCACATCGACGTTGGTTGCGATATAAGACAGCAATTTGGTCGCTTTTTCGTATCTAGCATCCAGTCGCGCCAGTTTGTTCTGCAGATACGTTCCATCTCTCAGCTCAGCCAGGTTTGATAAACCTACAGAACTTGTATCCATACTTCTGCGAATGATTCGCTGCAACGCCATGTAATACGTCGCCGCTCCTTCGCATAAATCAAGACGGAAAGTAACATCCACAAGTGAGATCGATACGTCCACAGGATACTCCTTGATCTGCTCGATAGTATTTATGATCGACGAGAATAATGGCGTGTCTGGATCTCTACGTGACGGCGAATTTGAAGACGCTGACAGCAGATGAATGCTCTGGCCCCACAGTTCACTCGCGAGCGCCTTTAAGTGAGGAGTCTGGTGGAACTGCTCAAAGTAGCTGATCAGGTTGCGGATACACAGTCTGGGGGTCTCAGCCTTGCCAAACAGCGTCTTGTTATTGTTGTGTGTATCGATAAAGGTCTTGAAGATGGTGTACAAAACTTCAGCTTCGTCGTCCGATATAGCCATAATCTCCCGTGCTGTCTCCGATAAGTCTCGATCTTCTTCATGCTTGACTTCAGTGTTGGAATTGTTGAGCGCTGCGTCGTAAACCGACAGTCTTCGTCCACTGATCTTGATCTCTCCTGACAATACGACCTGAGCTTCCCGACCCTGGAGGAGCGGGCCAAGCTCGACGCAAAACAATCGCTGAGCAGCGCCTCTCACCACGGATGGAAGCATCCGGTTGATGAACATTTTCATGATCGTATCGTGGTCCTTTCCCCGCTTGGTACTGTTGATTTCTCTCTCGTAGTACACGAAGCTCATGAGCTTGACGTCTAGCTCTTCCTGAGGAACTGTCCATCCCGAGATGGAGTCAAAGACAAGTGGAATATCAGCGACAAGTTGAGCTTCTACGTTCAGTTCATCACAATGGAAGCTCGGGAGACGTCCCTCAGTCGCAAGCGTGAAGTTTGTAACGCGAAGCTTGAGGCCATGGGCTGATGGAGTCGAGATATGGAGCGACAAATGAGGGGCTGTCGATCTCGTCTCAATGGAGAATTTTGCGTGAAAAGAAGGGATCCAGATGTCTCCGACGCCGACGTAGATGCCGTCACTTCCAAACCGTAACGTATACCCTTCAAAGTCTGGCAAATAGTGCTCTTGTTTCGACTTTTCCACGTTCTCGCTAAGTTGAGTGAAGAGATGACGCAGCTCAATGTACTCGGACCACAGTGAGTGATTCTCCGGCCGTAGTTCATTCTTGTTTTCGCGCATTTTTTCGAGTCGTTCCTTGATACTAGCACGTTGTCGAGCCAGAATCTCAATGCGTCGGTAGTTCGAGCTCTTTGCAGCATTCCACGCCTTCACCTGCTTCTTCTTCCGAGCATCTACACGCTGATGAATCGTCTCCATAACCTGCTTAATCTGCTCAAACTGCTGTTTACTGGTACCCCCAGTGTTACTTGATAAAATACCCAATGACGGTAGTACCACATGCTCAACGTGATCGATATAGTCTTCCAACGGGACCGTCGACTTGCTCTCCCCAAACACTTCAATGCACGCTCGAACCAGCAAAGCCGCTTCCTGAACACCACGTATACTGGCCAATGCACTGTCTTGCAGCACTAAATACCGAGCAATGTGCTTGTCAGTGTATTCTCCCAGCGTCCCCTTGGCCACCAACACGCGTCTGAACGTAAGTACCGCTGGCATTTCCACACTTGCCAGCGTCATCTGGGCCATCTCCAATGTCGAGAATCTCCTCATCTGTCCATTGACACCAACCAATACATCGCCAACCTGGACAAACCCCGACTTCTCCACATCTCCCGGCGGCCCTACTTTCCCCTTGTCAACGCTGCGGTCGAACCCATGCACCACGATTTGACCTCTTTCCAGCGCCAATTGCACTCGAAAAGGCCGTGAATTGCACCGGATCCGCACCAGGCTCCTGTCTTTCGAATTGTCACCATCAAAATCCTCATCAGACAAAGCTGAACGACGTCGTATTGACGGTGTGCGTCTCAAGGGCGACGCGGGGCTTGAAGTCTGAGAAAAGGCGAACGGAGATTGATCCTGGGACTCCTCGGACGGCCTCCCAGGCTCTAGAAACCCAGCGAAACGACGTCTAGTGGTAGGAGACAGCGCCTCGCTCAACATACTCCGTCCACGCGCGAACAGCGGCAGCTTGGACGGATCCATCGTGCCGGAGCGAGCTCCAGCTCTTATTGCGATTTTTTTCGAAGTTGATTCGGTACCTTCACTTTGCGCAATATTTGTAACGGTGATTCACTTACGATTTGTATTGAATTTCATACCTTTTCGTGAGTGGTTGGCAAAGATGGCGGAAGTATCAACTTACTTGCTGCTGGTGCTGCGTGGACTGGAGTTCCTGGTAGAGGAAGAGATCCGGTCTAAACTGCAGGTGGAGAGTCTGGAGATATGCAGCGTGCAGGAGAACCCTTCACCGCCCTACATGCAGGTGATGCAGGGCCAAGCGGCAGTAGGTAGGATCATCCTGCAGACAAAGTCGTCGGCTGCGGAAGTACAGGAGTTGCGGTCGGTACAGGCGACGCTAGCGTTGTTGGCTAAGAGTGGCGAGATCGACACAGAGAGCGACGCTGGTGTGAAGCAGATTGGGGTGAGTGTTGAAAAATGCAGGAAAAAAGATTCTGAACTGACGGTAGTATGGTGTAGCAATTGGTGCAGAATGCTGATTGGGACTCGGCTGTGAAGCTGTGGAAACAGCACTCTGTGCGTCCGGTGGAGGACAGTGAGATCAAATTCCGAGGATCGTGTGTGCGTGATGGTAAACACAAGTATAACTCGCAAGTTATAGCTGGGGAAGTTGGTGCTCGAGTGGTGGAAAAGTTCGGCTGGGCTGTGAACCTGACGGAGTTCGACTTGGAGGTGGTGGTGATCATCTTCTACAAGTTCATGGTTGCTGGTATTGCACTGGCAGATCCACGCAAGATCCAGTTCCGCAACCGATTGGCAAACGAGAGTCGCAGTGCATTAGCCGATAGCGACTACATTTCGACGCTGCGTCCAAGCACTGCTTACCTTATGCTGCAGCTCGCGCAACACAAATATGGCGACGTGGTGCTGGATTCGATGTGTGGAATTGGCACTCTCCCGATTTGTTCGGCTGATTTCACGAATGACGGCGTGTATGCTCTTGGTGGCGAGCTGGATGAGTTACCATCCGGAAAGGCAGGTCAGAACGCGGTTACTAGGCCACGCCCCGTGGACATTGCGCGCTGGGACAGTACGCGGTTGCCCCTACGCAGTCACAGTGTCGATCGAGTCATGATCGACATGCCGTTTGGTGTTCGCTGTGGCAACCAGCGTCAAAACAACAAGGTAAGCGCTAAACTCTGTCGTTTCGTGATATTTTGATCACTTATCCAACGTTCCCACTGCCTCTTTGTGCTTTTCAGATGTATCCAAAGGTCTTCAAAGAGTTGCTCCGTGTTCTACGTCCCGATGGTCGAGCAGTGCTGTTGGTGATGTCCAAGAAGCTTTTCAAGGGAGTCGTCAAGGATCTACCCGTCCGAGTCGTAGCTGAGCATATGGTGAGCATCGGCGGTCTGGGCGGCGGTATCTACGTTATCGAGCCTGCTACGGCCGCTCCTTCTCAGCCTACAGAGGTCAAACCTTCCACCATAGGCCAGAAACGCAGTGCCAGCAGCGTCAGCAACATCTAGAGCTTCAATAGACAAAAACCACATGGCTACATTTAAGTAGCTACATTTAGCCATCCCGAACCCAAATTACCGGGTTCGGGTCCAATTTGCTTGCAGAACTCCATGTCGACCATGGTAGGCAAAGGCCGCGGCAAGCGGCTGACAGATAGCGAGCGTATGGAGATCATCGCGCGTCTAGAGGACCCTTCTAGCCAATTATCAAAAGCAGAATGTGCTCGTCAACATGGCGTGACGCCCGCAGCCATCAGTAAGCTCATGAAGGTCAGTCAATCGGTCAAAAAGCGCTACTCGGATGCCGGTGCGGATTCCGGTGGATTCCGCGACAAGCGCCAGCGCGGCGGCTTCTCCAAGAATGTCCCATTCGAGGACGAACTGTTTCGGTGGATCTGTAGCGTCCGAGCGCGCAAGGTGCCGCTGCTGGTGTCCCACGTACAGTCGAAGGCTAAAATATTGGCCACGAGACACAAGATGAAGGAGGACTTTAAAGCTTCCAATGGATGGTACTACCGCTTCTGCAACCGGTATGGGCTTACGCCAGCCTCGCTACATGCTGGAAACTCTACGTCATCAGGCGTCGAGACGCAGCAGAGTTCGACGGGGGACATGAAGAAGGAGGGAGCCGAGACGACTCATGAGTGGACCAATCTGAGGGACAAGATTAAGCAGTTTGGACCTGAGTTCGTGTACACGTTGAGTGAAGCCCGGCTATTCTATCAGATGTTGCCTAGAGCTCTGGATGTGATGCCGGAGCATACCGGGACGGGTCAAGAGACGGCAGGGATGATAGCGAACGCTGTGGAGAGGAACGGTGCATCGGGGAAAGCTGCTCGTGTACTGGTATTGATGTGTGTGAATGCAACGGGTACACACAAAATCCCGTTGCTGATTGTAGGGAAGGAGAAAGCGCCTGCGTGTCTAGCTGCGATACATCCGCAGCTTCTTCGAGGAGATATCAACAGCAGTGTTGGGATAAGCGCGTCCTACTACAGCCAGCGCGATATTTGGTGCAGTGACCGCACGTTCAAGCATTGGTGTGAACGCGTTTTCTTGCCAGCTGTCCGTCAACGCACTACACAACCCGTGCTACTGATAACGGAGAATCCTGGAGGTCGTCTTGCTGCATTCCAGCAAGAAAACGTCTCCACAATATTTCTACCATTACGTACGAACAGTGGGGGTGGCGATATAAATCTTTCGACCCAGCAACACTCTCTCCCTGCTAACGGGAACACATTCCAGCCTCCTCATGCTGCTGTCATCCGCGATCTCAAGCACCGCTACAAGATTGGTCTTTTCCAGGAGCGCTTGAACTTCATTGAGACGCCAGACGACGAGAAGTATCGACTGATTCAACGTGCAGCTAAGAAGCCATTGGGTACTGCAGGTGTAGCGCTCGGACGCGTCCCGAACTTGATTGACGCCATGAGTCTACTGGATGAAGCGTGGGCGGCCATCCCGCCATCTCTTATACGACATGGCTGGATCAAAGCCAACTTGGGGAATAATTCCATTCTTTCACCTGAATCGATGATCCGAGAGCAGAATGATGACGCCGTGGTGATGGAATGTTGCTCCATGCTGCGCAATTTGAACCTTGTCGACGATATGAACAAACTGGCCAAAGATATCCGACTTTGGCTTTGCGTCGATGATGATTCTAGTGAACAAATGCAACAGGAGCTGCTGTATGATCTCCAGCAATTACTACAAGAAGAAGAACAGCAGCAACAACAAGGAAGGGACCAAAACCTCCATCAACCAGCTTCACAGATGGCGTTTCAGCAGAACTCAACAGCCTTCATGGATGCTGGTCTATCTACCAGTTTCGATCCGAGTCAAACGGGGTCGTATGTGTATCGTACTGCTGATGGTCGAGCGGCGTCAGCACCGACGATGGATCCGAATGTGGTACAAGAAGAGAAGCGCAAAGCCATCGTGTTGGCGCTGCATACACTTGCTGGAGCTGAGGAAACGCTAGATAACGCTGATGTGGCAGAGTATTTTGGCGATGAAGCAGCTGGCCAGGCGATGGAAAGCATCTCACGAGCACTACGACGATTGCGTCGTATTCAACGTGGTAAACAGTCCGCTCTTGTCGCTGCTGCAGTGAACGCTGCAGCCAATGGGGATGCAAACGACAGCACTGGTGGTGCCTTGAGCACTCATGAATACTTCTACGGCAATGGCGCTCTAGGCAGGAACGTGTAAAGCCAAGAAAATGTGAGTGCAGCCGAGCAATGTACGTAAGTATTTGATTTGTCACAAAATGGAGCAATGACGAGCTTCGTCGTGCTCATTGGATGCTACCACATGTTGATCTGTTGTTACTTCCCCTGACTGCCACGAGTGGCGACGTCCAGTGACGAGGAACTTGGACTTTGGAGAAGGTGTTTTCGGAGTTTCTAGTGGATTTGATTTCCGTCGAAACGTTGACTCAAGTGGGCTTCGTGAACCCCCCGTTGGCGTCACGCTCTTGTTCAAGCGCTTTCCAGCTTCTTTGAACTCTTGCTTAAACCGTGGCGGCAGAGTGGGCTTGATCTCCAGAGCCCAACGCCAGTATCGCTCTTCTTCCTTGCCTGAGTGGGGCAAGATAAGCCGGATATCCGTCATGCACACTGGACATGCGCTACAAGATCGTGGCAAAAACAAGAAAGTTACAAATCTGAAGCACGACGAATACTATCGCGACCAGCTTACCACCAGTCCATTGATGACGAGTAATCTGTGGAAATGTTGCCTGATTTAATGCAGCCGTCGCACACGCACATGTGCTGACAAGGGAAAAAGACTGAGGTGGGTCTTGTGTTGACGCAGTACACACAAAGGGTACCCGTCGGATATGAGCCGTCAGGGCGGCGTGTGAATGGCTGTAGCTGACGAAAATCTCTCACGAGGTCCAAGTAGTTCTTGGTAAGCTCCGTAGTATTGGACTTCTGCACGACTGCTGACTGTGAACGTTGGCGAGGTGCAGGCTTTTGCTGTTGTACTTTGGCTCCAGCGTCATTGATTTCCATAGGGGAATCTGTGGGAATCGCAGAGCTGAGATTGTCTGGATTTGGTTGTTCCGTGGAAATTTGGCCTTGGAAAGCGGCTTGGAGATATTTTTTCGATTCGAGTTCCGCTACGCTTACGGTATTTTCTTCTACTGAGGCGTGGTCTCCCCCTTCTCCTTCGGATGCGGTGGGGATGACAGAGGCAGAGGTGATGCCACGAACCATTTGCGCCAGTCAGTGTACTGCTATTAACGAGCAATGCAAAGTGCTTATTGTGATCTTACTTCCTAGACAAGAACGACTGCATTGCTGGACTAGGAATAGTACTAGTCAAACTGTATGCTAATTGGCGAATGCAAAAGCCACTTCAACTTGCATCCGACTTTTTTTTCAGCCAATCATCGTCTATCTACGGTCTTAACTTCCTAGCCAGCCACAGGCTGAAGTGCATCAATCGAGGCATCATGGTGCTCATGCGTCGCCGCGACAAGCGGCGCGGCAATGAGTCCGAGGAGATCATCGTGGCTAGCGACTCGTCCATTGTGGCCAACAAGGGCGTGCGCTCTTTGGGCGGTGCGCGCACGGGCCGCTTCGCCGCTGACATGCGAGTGAGCGTGGGAGGTTACGGTCGCGCGGACAAGACGTGGGGCGTGGACCACCCGTGGCACTCTACGGAGGAGGGCGATCTGTTCTCCCAACTGTGCGCTAAAGATCACATGGAGGAGGGAGATATGGCTCACGAACAGACGCACGAGGAGCCCGTACGGGGCCTCAGTCGCGCGCAACTTAAGAAGCGCAAAGCGAAGCTCAAGAAACAAGGATTAACAGCCAAGCAGGCGGCTGAAGAAGCGCTAAAGGAAGCTGAGGAGGCCAAGAAACGTCATGAGGAAGAACAGAGAATGAAGGAGCAGCAGGAACTCGAGAAAAAGGAGGAGATGAAGAAGAAGAAACTCGAGAAGAAGAATCAAATTGCTACTCAGGAGACGGAGACAGAGCAGGACGAAGCGGAAGCGGAGGCTAAGAAGGAGAAACGAAAGAAAGAGAAACAAAAGAAAAAGGAGAAGAAACAGGAAGCAATTGAACAGGCACAGCAGCAGACCAAGGAGCAGGAACAGGAGATGAAAAGTCGGGAAGTGCTGGCCTCGGCCTATGAGGAGAATGTGGGCAGCGAAGTGACGACCAAGAGCGGCCTGGTGATTCAGGACCAGCGTATTGGACAGGGTAAATTGCCCTTTGCAGGCGAGATGCTGACGGTCAAGTACCGTGGACGTCTAGGACGTGATGGTCTTGTGTTTGGCAAAGGAATGCTAACCACAACGTACGGCACGGGCTCCGTCATTGCTGGATGGGAAGAAGGTCTAGGTACGATGCGTCCTGGAGGTGTGCGACTGTTAACAATTCCACCGGAGTTGGGCTACGGCGAGAGCGGCAAGGGCGACAAGATCCCGCCCAACTCGACGCTGTTCTTCGAAGTGGAGCTCGTGCGTATTGGCAAGCGCAAACGCGAAGCTATTGGTGAGGACGACATTCCGCTGCCCAGTTCTTTCCAGCGCAAGCGTATTAAACAGAAACCTGGTAAGAAAAGCGGCGAGGACGAGGACGACGGCGAGGTGAAGCTGTCCAAGAGCCAACTCAAGCGACGACGTCGGAACCGCAATAAGAACCGGAGCCAGGAGGACGACGCTTGATACAGCCATATACAGCGGGCGTACCATAGTTTTATACCGTAGTTACATGCAATAGCAAGCACATTGCAGAGTGATACAACTCGCATGTTTCCTGCAGCTCCTCGCCAGTCAAAATGGCACGTTCCTGGCCACGCACGCAGAAAATACCTTTACGTCATTGGTCTAAATTCAAAATATGCCACTCCTATTGGTTCAAAAATCATCAGACAAGTCTGACGTAGCGTCCTGCAAGCATTTCGTGAAAACCTCGCGATGGTGGCCTTCATGGACGACGTTCCTGCCCCTGTCTCGGCCGAACAGGCCTCGATAACCTCGAAAAAGTCTCGTCGGGTGTTCTCTCTGCTCATCGACAACTATGACTCGTATTCGTACAACATCATGCAGATGCTGGCTCAAGTGAACGGAACTCCGAACAGCGTCACAGTCATCAAGAACGATGACTTCGGTAGCCAATTCAACGTCGCATGGGACCATTTTGTTGCCCAAGCGACTGCAATTGCGTCTCAAGAAGACGTGGAGTTGAAGCTCAACGTGGTCATTTCTCCTGGCCCGGGTCATCCGTCAGAACCCAAGGACTTTGGCATGTGTTCAGACGCCATTCGACACGCTACGGTGCCAGTGCTGGGTGTGTGTCTAGGACATCAAGGACTGGCTCAGGTCTATGGTGGTCAAGTGGTGGAGGCCGAGGAAGTCATGCACGGACGTACCAGTCGTGTATTTATTGAGGGAGAGAGCCCTTTATTCGCCCACATTCCGAATGGGTTTGATGTGGTACGATACCATTCGCTGGTAATTGACCCCAAGAAAATTCCAGAAGAGCTTGAAGTGTTTGCCAAGACGCAGGATGGAGTTATCATGGCCGTACGCCATCGTACCAAGCAGCAGTTTGGCGTACAGTTCCATCCAGAGGCCGTGTGCAGCGAGTTCGGCTATCAACTCTTCCAGAATTTCAAGGATGTGACGCTGGCGCATTGTGCTTCGAAATGTGTGCTGCACCATAGCAACCACCCTGAACAGACCGCTAAGTTGCATGATAAAAGTGTTCAGAAGTCGACGGACGCTCCAGACTATCGCGTGTTGATTCAGCGTGTATCGACGGGCCTCGCATCGCTCGAGTTTGCGGAATTCGTGTTTAGTGAGCTGTATGGGGCCTCGAAGCGATCATTCTGGCTGGATAGTAGCAACCACGACACAGTTGCTGGCACCGATGCAGCTACTCAGTCGCGGTGTTCGATGATGGGCGACGACAGCGGACCTCTGAGCTACTGCGTCGAGTATGACGTCGCCAAAGTAGAACTTCGCTTACGTCGCCATGTAAATGATACTGAGGAAGTGAAGGTGTATCCGGGTCAGGATGTCTTGACTCATGTACGAGAAGTGATGCAAGCACACCGATCCCATGAAGTGTTTAGCGATGCCGTTGAGCTTCCATTTGCCTTCCGTGGTGGTTTTGTGGGCTACTTTGGATACGAAGTGCTCGGAAGCGATCAAGAGGGTAAGAAGATGTTCAACAACAAGATCGAAGTGCAAGGAGAGCGTGCCCCCGACGCGTCATTCTTGTTTGCAGACCGCACGTTGGTATTCGACCACCAGGACGGTGTCATCTACTCGCTATCTCTTTCCGAGTGCAAGATCGAAAGCGAAAGTATCAGCCAGATGTGGCACGGGTCAATCAAGAGCCAACTGAAGGAGCTCTCTGAGGCCTACACCAAGAGGTCTGGAGCGAGTACATCGCTGTTTTCAAGCGTTTCTGGAAAGGATGAGGTGATCTTCCGTCCGTCACGGAGCCGCGCTCAATATGTGGCCGACATCGACGAGATCCAGCGCCTGATCCGTGCTGGAGAGACGTATGAAGTGTGCTTAACCAACCACTTGCGAGCCGAGTACGCTCTACGCGATCCACTAGCATTTTACCGTATGCTACGCTGCCGAAATCCCGCTCCATTCGCTGGTTTCTACTTAAGCAACCCAAGGAATCGCTTCCAGACTCCAGATGCTATCAACGACACAGATACACATGACACGTACGCGCTTTGTTGCTCGTCACCTGAACGATTCCTGAGGGTGGGAGCTGATGGCTGGATGGAGTCTAAACCCATTAAGGGGACACGACCTCGAGGCCGCGACTCTAACGAAGACTCCGCTATTGCCGAGGAACTTGCCAACTGTGAGAAAGACCGAGCCGAGAATATGATGATCGCTGACCTTGTACGCAACGACTTTGGCGTCGTAGCTCGAGTCGGATCCGTACATGTACCGCGTCTTATGGGCGTGGAGACCTACGCCACTGTACACCAGCTTGTCACTACCGTTCGCGCTCAACGCCGTGAAGACGCCGACGTAGTGGATGTGTTACGTGCTACATTCCCCGGTGGTTCTATGACTGGAGCACCCAAGAAGCGCACTATGCACATTATCCGGGAGCTTGAGCGTGGTCCACGTGGTGTTTATTCTGGAGGACTGGGCTTCCTATCGATCGATGGTAGCTGCGACTTGAACATTATCATCCGCACAGCTATCGTGACTCCAAACAGCGTGACTCTCGGTGCTGGTGGGGCCATCGTGGCACTATCGGATAGTGACGACGAATACGACGAAATGCTGCTCAAAGCCCGAGCACTTGTTGCTACTATTGGTGCCTACGCGACGGGAAAAGACAACGGAGGTGGAGCTCGAGTCGTTGTGGACTAAAGTTCATGGGGTACGAAGATGCTAGCCAGCTGGAGCCCGTGGTCAAGCCCAAACACGCTTCGTAATTGTCATTGTTGCCTGTTTGCGCGGCCAACCATGGCCCTCAGCTCACAGTCTGCTCCACACGAACACATTAACTGCTTCACGCTTGCGCAGGCCTAGCAACCAAGAAATACACGCCACCCATTCGAATTTAGGGGTTGATTGACAGTGAATTACAACGATCATCTCCATTCGAAGCCCGATAAATTCTCTCCAATACAGATAGGCAAGATGGCCCGACAATGAAGGAACTTCTCGTGGTGATTCCGTCAACGGGCCAAATCGTAGACGTCTTCGTCGAGAGTTTGCGACTTTCGAGGAAGTCAAGGAACTTATCGACTACCAGCTCCTCTTTCCATTTCCGCCTCAAGAGCTGGTGCTTTGCCGAGCCAAAAAGAAAAAAAACGGCGAGTGACTCAAGGTCTATCACAGCGACGACCAACTTGTACAGTCTGGTGGCATTTCGAGCGCGGCCTGGGAGATTCTGGACAACGCCGACAACGTGGTGGATGCGCGCGCAATGGTGTGCGACGGAGGCTTAGAGTTTCAAGGCATGGACGACCACAGACCTGCATTGTTCATCTCGTCGCGTTGCTGCCACCGTACCGTGATCTATCCAAAGGTGCGACCTACCGGTTTGTGCGAGTGTCTACTGCCTTTAGGTTGACTTGATGCGATTTCGGACTGAAGGAGAAGACGTAGGCGACCGGTCTGGCAACGCTTGATCTCAAATTGCCTCCACTTGGCAGTGGTTAACACTGCGTGCGGTGGTGTCATCTACTTCGACACATCAAAAGAGTATTTAGACAGGAAAGTCCTTTGCGCAGATAAAACAGACGTGAGAGATGAGTTAACTGCCAAGTTCCAGCATATTGTACATGATGAGCCCCAGGAGCCCAGCTCTCGATCTTCGGACACGGTTGCCTGTTTGCGTGCTCGCAACAAATGGCTTCGCGCTCACTCTGCCAAGAATATAGTTCTCGTATTCAGTTTTAGTTTTCGATTTTGTATAAAAAAAAATGGAGTTTGACCGGAGTGCGGATGAAACAGGTCCACGTCGAGAAGACGAGCTAGTGCTACTTGTATGGCGACGATCGTTCCACAAAGATGGCCCTGAAAACGATGCCGAGAGAGCAATTTATCAACGTCTGCTGACACTTGTAGCAGAGCATGAGGACGGCAACGAAGCAGAACTAATGTCGATTCTGCTTGGCGAAGCCAGCGCGAAAATGCAATATCTCGATCCCGAATGGGGCTTTGTAGATGCCTCCAACATCGGTAAGTTCTCCAAAGCACGTCCTACTGTGAATGTCAAGCTCACTGACAGCTGCGCACTGGTGGTTGCCTAGTGTCACGCGTGGATGAGTGCATTATTGCTCTCCAGGAACAGCCAAAGAAACACTTCCTTGATCCGTTGTCCTGGGATATGCCACCGCATAAAGCTGTAGTGTCGGTTGTCGAAGCAGTACTGCTGCTCTTCGATGTGCCGCTGCCGCCCAAGCTTAGCGAAGAAGACATGTGGCGAGCATGTTGGGGCCTCTGGATTGTCAAGAACATCGAGGCTCACTCAAGTGGCTGGGAGTGGATGGCTCACAATGAACCGATAGGGCTCTTCACCAAGCCGTACGCCTTGAGCGTAGCAAACCTGGACCGTGTCTGTGAACTACTTCAGATAACGAGACATCTAGCACCTCCTGGACATCGCTGTTGGCACCATTTACCAGCATATACAAGTCTGAGAGACTGGGCTGGAGCGTGTGCAGCTTATCTACACATGGTCGAGCACTGCCTGCCTGAATTTCACGGCTTTGAAGCAGTGCAAAAGCTCGTGACACCTCCAAAACGCACTCCAAAAGAGAACGTGTGGTTCCGTTGCGAGTCTGAAGACGGCGTCGCTTACTTCTACAATCGTTTGTATCAATCTATTACGCTTGATCGACCCCAAGACTTTGACGGAGCGCATATTACGCAGAAGAGCATTCCAAGTGTCATTCGAGAACGTATCGCTGAGGTCTTACAGGCGGATGTATCGACAAGGCTGGAACTGGAGCGACGTGGCAAGCTGAAGATTCACGCGCAATTGCTGGACCAAGACCAATGGATCGAATGTTTCGACACACGCACGCAGACCAAATACTACTACAGCATCCGACACTACAAGACGTCCCCCACTCCACCAGAACACGGCGTGTTCGAAATCTACCGCGAAAGTTTTGCGTACGCTTCGGTTTTGCGTCTCCAAGCTGCGTACCGTCGTCGTCGTTTAGAGCAAAAGACTCAAGTGCGGAAAGCAAAACGGGGAACTTTGCCAAGTTTTGCCACTTTTGCCAGCAAGGGGCGTACAAAGGCGCAACATTCGTAGTTGTGGGTAGTAACATTGAAATTTTAATGTAAAACATGAACAAGATCACTATGCAACTTGATACCACCACGGATTGTCTAGTAATCTGTCTTGCACTCAACAGGCGAGCAAGCTCCATCGGAAGCCTTGGTGAGGTGAAGCTCTGGGTGGTTGCAGCTAGCGATGCCCAACAAGCACTCGTTGCTGTACGTGACTCCGTCAGAGCCGCAGACGGGAGCGTAGATCAAGGTGCAAACGTCCGGGCATGACGATGACTCCTTGCCACCTTTGGTCTCCTGATTTGATTCAGTCGAATTGTTACCCTTGTAGCCTCCTTCGGTAGTGCAGGCTCCCTCGTGAGCTTGAGTGATGCTGGAATCCTTGCAGTTGGCAATTTTCAAGAAGCACGAGTTCGAGTACGTGACTCCATCAGAGCCGCACACAGGGTCGAATAGCTCGATGCACACCTCCGAGCAGCCAGAGCATTCTCCATCGGAGGCTTTGGTGATGGCACCGTCACTTGTGCACTGAGCATACTCGAGAGTACAGTCGTTCGAGTAAGTTACGCCGTCCGACCCGCAGACTGGTTTGTAGATTGCGGGGCATTGATCAACGCATGACGTCGTATCGACGCACTCTCCTTCGTGTGCTTGGGTAATCTTCTCTGGGGTCTCACAGTCCGCGAGCCGCAGAAAACACTCGTTCGGGTATGTGACTCCATCAGAGCCACAGACGGGCTGGAGTATCTCGGGACACACGTCCGGGCAGTCACTGTCACATTCTCCATCGGACACTTTAGTGATGGCGCCATTACTCGAGCACTCAGCATAATCGAGCGTGCAGTCATTCGAGTAAGTCACACCGTCCGACCCACACACAGGTTGGTAGTTCTCAGGGCACACATCATTGCATGAGGACGGCGTCGTCTCAGAGCGGCACTCTCCATCGTAGGCTTTAGTAATTTCATCTGGGCTTTCACAGTCTGCGATGCCCAGAAAGCATTCGTTCGGGTACGTGACTCCATCAGAGCCGCACACGGGCTTGAGTATCTCGGGACACACGTCCGAGCAGCCAGGACTCGAGGTGGAACATTCGCCATCGGACACTTTGGTGATGGCACCACCACTCGTGCATTGGGCATACTCGAGAGTGCAGTCGTTCGAGTAAGTTACACCGTCCGACCCACAGACGGGTTTGAAGTTCTCGGGGCACTCGTCGTTGCATACCACATTGCCATCGGTCGAGGACGGCGTCGTCTCAGTGAGGCACTCTCCATCGTACGCTTTGGTGATCTTCTCGGAGTTTTCGCAGTCTGCGAGGAGCAGATAACACTCGTTCGAGTACGTGACACCGTCGGAACCGCACACAGGTTCGAATTGGTCCGTGCACAGGGACGGGCAAACGGTGGTGCCTGACGGCTCATAGTCCGCGTTTGTACTTGCGACGGCGCCGAGCAGAAGACAAACGATGAGTTTCATCCTGGAGCGACTTGAAGGAGGGCGGCCACTTGGGAAGCTCAAAGCAAAATGGAGAATGGTAAAAACCTTCAGAGGAGGCAGTGCTTATCGTTAGGTAGAGGCAGAGGAGACGAAGTCTAGGTGCGTATCTGCACCCACTTAATTGATTTCTAAGGAAAAACGCACGTCTCCTCGTATGTCACCGGAACGACTTCGAGAAACCATTTGCAATTTTGCTGTTCGGACTGACTTTTAGTCACTGACTAATAGTCCGTTACAGCTGATTAACTCAGTCCCGAGGTTGCGTCAGCTGACTGAAAGGGCTGGACAGGCAACGAGAACGTTTCTCCTTAATGACGCGAGACCTTTTGTAAAAGATAGCACAGTGCCGCCGTTGGAGCTTCCAACTTTGGAGGCGGCGTAAACAAAACGGTTCTGTAACGGTTAGAGATCACTTCAACGTGCTCACACGTCACAGATTTTTGTGGGCTCGAGATTTGCCTTCACGCCAGTACATCGGTTTTCAGATACAAACGATGGCAGTTTGCTGCTTGTACCCCCAGCAGCTACGCTACTAGGACTGCTGGGAGGTAATGTCGGGGTAAGTACATGGGTTGTTGGGTTACAATTCGGAGAATATATCGAATCGATACTAGATGCCGATTAGGATGAAGCCACAGCAACACTGCTTCTAGATGCACACCATGCATGTCTATGAATCGGTGTGCTGCTACCTAGTTTATCATGGCGCGGAGAAGTACTGGAGCGTGAGTACATGAAGTCAACGACGAAGGTGTTGTCATTTTTTGCTTACTCGCGATGATTTAGATGGATACGTGCCGCCGATGAAGTCTCAGCGAGTGGCGTGGGCGTGTAATCTTCACACACGCTTAAACATCTGTGGACGGCGTCTCATGACCGAATGAGTAGTATGGATAGGGACGACGAAAACCAGTGTAGTCATCGTGTCCTGCGCGACTCGAGCCGTACAGCTCCTTGTAGCGTGCGTACCAATCGTCTTCCTTGCCGCTCTTTTCGCACTTCGCCAGCTCCATGGCGCAGTAACTCGGGTACATGATGCCGTCGTCGCCCAGTACAGGACTGTACACGTCGAGGCATTTGCTGGAACAACGCAACGCATCGTTGCCTGCCGAGGAGTCATGAGACGATGGTGTCGCTTCACTAGAGGCCGCTGTAGACTTGCTTGACCCGTCGACCAACGTCTGCGTCGGCGTTTCGGCTGATCCTGACGCTGGGCCTGTGGGGTTGACGAGACCTCTTATATTTCCCGGGGTGTAAGCGTCGGAAGAAGTGATTGCGAAGGCAGCAGCGGTGAGACCAATGATAGACTTCATTTCGATGCGCGAACTGTTGGCGAAAATGAAGACTGAGACTCGACTACGCGAGCGAATTGATAAGCCGCCGTTGCCGCATTAACAAGATTGTTGACCACAGGCACGATACAATAAACGAATCCCATCCGAAATCGTCATCCGCAGATAATACAAAGCAATTTCAATCATAAACACCACCACGCTGGTAATCCTCCCAACACTACTCATCGAGTGGGTCGTAAATAAAATGCTGGAGCCTAACAGTAAATAAAACTCTTATCCCATGTGCTCTTTGCGACGTTAACATTGTACAGGGGATCTTCACACTTCCTCAACCACTTCAACTCGCACACGTCACACATTTGTGTGCACCACACCATCCTCCTCACCACTCATTCTATTGGTCATAAACGAGGCGTATCTTCTTCTCCAGTTATAGCAACCGCTTCATTACCAAACATGGTGGCGTTCTGGGGCTGCGAGGTGACGGAGACCAAGGCTGCGGTCGTGAATGTGCCCGAGGGCTTTGTGCTCAACGTGGTGAACGCCACGTGTGGCGCGTCTTCTCTCGAAGCACAGGTGGCACTGGGTCTGGAGACGCAGCAGCTCGATGGCAAGTCCTGGAAGGGTGCGGTGGCTCATTTGGGCGCCAAGCAGCCGCTGCAGGTCAAGCTGGACCTGGTTTTTGGCCACAAGGTTAAGTTCTACCTGGCTAAGGGATCGGGCGTCGTGAACCTCAGTGGGTACTTCCAGCCAGGCCCTTCCGTCGACTTGGTCGAGGAGGAGGCAATTATCCCTCCGCAAGCCCCCAAGAAGAGCAAGAAGCGTGCTCGTGAGGAGAAGAAGGAGGCCCAGAAGAGCTGGGACGAGGTGAGTACTATGAAGAGAACAGTAGAACTGTATGAAGAGTTGTTCCCATCTGTAAATTACCCCCGTGGTCCTTTTTCGATATCGCGGGGGTCCAGACCGGATGGGATAGGAAAGTGTATGCTTTTATGGCGAGAGTTCTTCTCGTCTCAATACTCGCGCATGGTCCTTAAGGCTGTCTCCGTGCGGGCGTAGGGCAAGGTGCTGTGGCTGCCTCACTATGTTGGATGCGGCTGTGATCCAAACGACTGCTGCTCTCTTTGAGGAGTGGCGGAGTATCTGGGGAAGGTTTGCTCCAGCGAGGTGGCAATTTAAGCAGCGCCTACCTATTGCGTCTGTAAAAGGCTCTTGTGGTCTGTCCCGTCGGAATCATACGAGTCATAACTGTGCAACATCCATATCATTGCATGTGTAGTAAAGCTCTTCTGGTATCTACCATCAGTGCTGACAGTCGTGGTGGATTTCTAGGTGTCCCCATCGTCTAGTGACTCAGAGGAAGTGTCGGAGGAGAAAGCCAAGGCTTCCAAGCCCTCGATCACGTCTAATGCCAACAAGGAAGTGAAGAAGCCCAAGCAGAGTGAGACTCCTGCCACCACGTCTTCAAACCCAGTCAACTCGACGGGTACCGCGCAGAAGAAGAAGCGCAAGAAAAACAAAAACAAGAAGCAAGCTGCCAACGGCGCGGTTAACTAACCAAAGAAGTAATATATTTGCAAGCATTCAATGCTCTAGTCACTCTATGGACTCCGCGTAGGCACCCACTCGCCTGATGCTGTGCGTTTCAGTGTTTGTACAGCAGTATGACCCCAGTCGACGCTCAAGATGGCGATGAACAGCACAAAGCAAACGTACACGACCCACGCCACGTTGAACATCTTGAAGGCGTGCATGTTGTCTCGGCCGATACATTTGCCCATCCACGGACAGTGATGGTCATAGCCAGCGATACACACTCCACAGTCTTCACAATGGTCCGTTGAGCGGTCCTGCTCGATGCCGCAGATATCGCAATACCGACGTCGTGACGGGCGACGAGGGCCAAAAGCCTCAGCAGGCAGCATTGCTCCCTCAACTACTGGAGCTTGTCCAGCTTCCAGCTCCATGCCTTCACTCTCGTCTTCAGTCTGCGAGACATCCTTCTGTCGCGGTGGACGGATAATACCTGGGTCTGTGCATGTTGTCTGGAACAGATAGTAGAGCGTCACGCTGCAAAGTCCAAGCGTGATCAACGTGTTATACCACGCCATGGTCTCCACGTGCTGAGAGAGGAACATGGCTGTAGACACCAGAATGATTCCCACAGTGACCAACACTCCGATCCAATGCGGACCTACAATGACGAGTTTGGTCTTCGTGCCATCAGCAGACCCCACACGGCGTTCATGCAGAATCTACAGGACGTTGCGTAAGACTGTGCAGCATTAACACTACTTAAGACCGCACTTACGTAGCTATGACCAAGTCGCTTGAACTTGCAGCAGCAGAGACACGAAAGCGGGTCGGTGGTGCTCACGGGTTGAGCGAGTGCCAGCAGCAGCGCGTCTTCGTCGTCTTCCCCGGCCCTGAGCTTGTCCAGATGTCCTCGCAGACGCTGCACCTCGGCTCGCTTGGCCTCGCACTCAGCGGCAGCCGTCGCTGCCGCACTTACGCCGCGCTGTTCGCTGTCGATGCTCATGGGCGCGAAACGGTTATATGAACCTCAGCACCAAAAAACGGCTTCCTAGATATGCAGCCAATGGACCGGCAAAAGCGGCGTGGAGAGCGTCCACGTCAAAAAAAAGAAGGTATATATTGCTATCACACTAGCCCTGGAATCTCTCTTTCAGCAGCTAGCTGTTCATCTCTCTCTCTCTCTCTCTCTCTCTATCTATCTATCTATCTATCTACGTTCTATGAAATGGCGTGGGCGACTTCATCCTGATGATAAGATAAACACATTGCCACACTGTCCTTCGCATGTCAGTGATAAGCAAAAAGTTAGTTATCACTGATAACTTGTCAGCAACCACGTCCTACTTCTTGATTGGGACTAAGTACTTGTACTTCCTATGATTTCATTCACGAAACCCACTTTCGTCAACGAATCAAGCATACTATAAGTATCTTATTGGGTCAGACAAAACTCCCTCTCTAGCTACGTCTACGAAATGGTGCAGCTACTCCACGTGGATGCCTCCTCCTTGGTCTCACCACCTGTTGAACCACGGGCAGCTGAGATTTTCTCGAAGATCTTCTGGTCAGCCTCCTCCTTCTCCTGACGAGCCTTCTCAGCCTCAGCAGCTACATGTTCGTCGTACGTGGTGATGTTCAAGCCCAGTTCAGTCTTCACCTCGTTGTTCACTGCAGCAGGCTCCGTGAGCACCACGAACGCGTCTTGATCGCTTTCACGCACGACACGCTGCACCTTAGAAGACTGGAACACGTCTTCCATGCGCACATGCTGGATCCGTCGCTTCGTAGTGCTGGTCACACGGTACACACGAGTGCGATCGATCGTCTGGTCAACGTTGCCAAGGTCAAGGAAGCTCTGGTCCGATACCATCAAGTTCAGCTGGTTCTTGAAGCTCTCGAGCTCTTCCAGGCGCACTTTCAGGCGAGCAGAGCTGCCTTCCTTAGGTACGAGTTGGTCAGGTAATTCACCCTTGGCGTCGTGGGCTAAGAGACCAAGGAAGCACACGGCAGTCATGAACGCATCGAAGCCAGCCTCGTGACACAGCAAGCTCTCGTTGCCGTCAGCTTCCGCCTTTAGAGCCTCACGGTAAGTATCGAAGCGCTCATCGCTGGGAATCAGACTTTCAGGCTCAGGCTTGACATTCTCGCGCATGTACTCGAACAACGACGACAGACCCGTTGACTTCAGCTTCTCGCCAAGAGGAGAACGGAGCGTAACATGTTTCGTGTCGTAGATGGTCGGGAAGAGCTCCAGAAGCTGCGTTTTGAACTCCGCCAGAGTCTCTGGGAGGGGTTTGTAAAACTGGTGGAAGACGTACACAAAGTCCAGCAGCGCGTTGTGTCCAACAACGGGCAGTTTGCTCTCACTCAACGTCTCGATCACCTTGGAGAAGCCGATCGCGTCCTCCATCTCTTTCTTCATCTCCTTCACCTTGGCAGCGATCAATTCCTCTTTGATCTTCTTTGACACATATGACACTTCCACACCACCTTCCGCGGACTCTGTGTACAGATAACTGGCCTTGGCACGCGCAGTCTCGTGTACGATCATCGAGTAGAACGAGTTCCTCGTGGGCACGAGCAATTTCTGACCCTTCTTGGCTCCTCCAGCGATCCACTCGTCCAACTGCTGCTTGACTTCATTTTGGAAGGCCACACCGTCGTCAGAAAGCTGCAAGTTCTTGTTCACTTTAGTCAGTCCATCGATACGGCGCTGCAGACGCTTCTTCATAGCTGGAGTCTTGGACAGATTGACGAATGGGATGCCGTCTCCAATGAACTTGTTGAAGTCGAAGCCATGCTCCGATAGAAACTGTAAGCTTGAGGCCTGGCACAAGAAGCGCTCGTCCAGTGAGCCATAAGGTCTCGGGAATACGTAAAAGTTCCACGTCTTGATGTGGAACTGATCCTTCTGATCCACGTGCACGGTGGAGAGCCCGAACTGCGTGATGAGGAAGCTCTCGCCCGCGCGCTTCACCTTGTGGTAGCGCTCCTCTAGTGTGTCTAGGTATTGTTCGCGCTCAAACTCATTGGGCGACAGACCTGTGAACTCCGTGTCAATGGCTATGAAGCGGCAAGTGGGCAGCTGTAGATCCTTCTGAAGGTCTTTAAAGTGCTTGGCGAAGTTGTGGCGAGTCACGTTCATCTCGCCTGCTGCTGCTGGAGCTTCGAGGGTGACGGTGCTGAAGCGGTGGGGGCGGAAGAGCAGCGACCGGAGCGACGATTGAGACGCACGCAGCATCCGGTGGGTGGTCGATGGACGTCAACCCAATTTACACGAATGGTACACCATTTAAGGCTCTACAGTTGCCTATGATACGTCATATTGATGGTCGAATACCTCTGTTGAAGCATACAGAGTCCATTGCAGTGATGGAAGCTAAGGCAACGAGTGTGAAGGACCTGACGGACGCCGAGGTGTACGAGCTCGTGTACCAGCTCAAGCAGTGCAATGAGAGTGACCCAGCGGAGACGCGTCGACTGTTGCAGGATCACCCGGAGTTGGCACGAGCTGTCGCTCAGGCGCAGCTCCGACTCGGAATGATCAAGGAGCGCACGGCGTCAGCGTCTGCACCTATTAATGCCATCGTACGCTCTCTACAAAGCTTATATTACGCTCTTAATGCTTTTTAAACTTACTTTAACGCTGCAACCTTAGGGCGTGTCAAATGATCTGATGGAAAAGCTGGACCCAGAGCAGCAGGAGCTGCTGGAGCAGGTGCAGAACTTGGCACCCGAGATCATCCAGTCGCTTCCCCCGGAGGAGCGACGGCAGATCATGGAATTGCGCGAGGCCATGGGGCTCCCGCCCCTTTAGGCGACTTCTATTTAACCAGCCAGCTACACAGGACAGCAGCATTTCGGACAAAAAATCTGTTTGGGTTGGGTTTGCCAAGTTGGTTGTACGTTGCTGTCTACTGCAGAAGCACGTGAGATACCTACACTTAGAATTTGAAATCCTTAAGTTTCTTGCTCTTGTCGGTCTTGGCTTTCTTTTTCTTTTTAGCAGCCTCGTCTTCGTCTTCCACGGGGTTGGCAGACTCTGACGGTGGCGCGTCTTCAAAGCGACGTCTAACGCGACCAGTCTCAGTGCGAGTGCCGCTTGATTCCTCGGTTCCACCTGGAACAACATACGCATGTCCTGAACCGTAGAGCGATGTACCGACTGACGTCTACAATACACGATGAAAAGGAGCATTAGCGGTACATTCCCATCCAAGACAGTATAACAGCGATACATCACATACCTCCTTCTGTTCCAGTACAGTGTAGAGCTGCTGTGGGACATCGGGCGTTTCTGTTCCTCTGCTCGGCAAAGTCACATGCAAGAGGTTAGCGAAAATTAACACACTTTGACAATCCCAACGTACCGGATGCCCTTGCGCAGATCCACGACACCAGGCGTGGTGAGGCCGGAAGCAACACTGGAGATGCCGTCCACAAGAGGGGTCTCCAAGCCAGTAGCATCAAGACCGTCAACGTCCCCATTGCCTTCCATGGCGCCTTCTGTCTGCTCCTCTTCTCCCTCACCCTCTTCTTCCTCTTCTTCTTCTACATTCAAGAAAAATTGTTAGCGACTTGTCTACAGCCATATTTCTCCTGCTAGGCTATGCAAACCTTCTTGTTCTTCCAGCTCTCCCCATCTTTCTCGGTTAATTTCTTCTCCCTGCAGCATAGAACCTGTCAGCTCACCAATACTTACAGCAACATGCTACCCAGTACCCTTACCTGCTTCTCTGATTCAGTTGTCTTGCCGAATACGTCGCCGTAAAGAGGAACACCATTCTCGTCCACAGGGGGTTTGCCCCAGCCGCCAGGATGATAGCCGAAACTCGCACCCTCTGGAATAGGAGCGTTCAAACCTGGAATCTTCAGGTTCGGGTATGCTGGCGGCGGGCCATATCGCTGTACATTCAGTAGCCATGGAGGAGGGACACCTTCCACCATACCTAGTGCTGCTTTAAGTTCATCTGAGAGCTGACCCGGCACCTTAGACTTGAGTTTTACCTCGAACTCCTTGCCTTCATAGTACCTGCAAAATGTGAACAGAAAGTAACATAAGGTCAATGCTGCTCAGTACAATAATCTAAGCAACAATTGCCGATAAGTTAACGTACACATCACCCAATTGAGTGAGCTTGGGCTTGGTCTGGAAGCGGAAGAACGCGTCGTGTAGCACCTGGTAGTCGATATCCACACGTCCCATCTTGGGCTGCACGCGCTCTCTGGCACGCTGTTTGTTTCTCTTCTTGTCGTCATCCTCTGCAACTGAATCCCTCACTTCAGCAATACCTGTCTGAGCAATAAACTCTGGCAATTGGAACGGCTGCTTCTCAAAGCCACGCTTGCCCTGAAGATACTTTCGCTTATGACACCAGTGACGCGGCACGGGGACCGTGTTGCGATACGACTTCAAATACACAAGCAGCCGAGGGTCTGCCGACGTGACGTCGTGAGCCTCCACCACATCCGGGTAGGCCACCAGCTGCTTGAGCTCAGCCACACTCAGGCGTTTGCTCTTTTTGCGAGCTTTCCTGGACAAAATCTGCTCTTCTTCCGCCTCCTCCTTCGCCTGATCGTCGTCTCCGTCAGCTCCATCCTTTTCCTTCTTGTCGTCATCCTTTCCGTCCTAAAATAATTCAAGAAAATTCTCAATAAATTGGATATACATGCCTAGATCCTGCACCTTGGACGCACCTCGTTGTCCGTAGCGCCGCAGAGCTCTTCAGCGGACGAAAACTTGCCAAAAACGCGCATCATTTCCTCGTAGGCTGGATCTTCCTGTGGAAGTGCCAGCTCCTTGCTGAGATCGGCGCTCACGTACTCGACTTCCACATCTGGAGGGGGTGCAAGAGCTGTCTCTTTCTCCGCCTTGGTGGTGCCGTTGCTGGTATTAGCAGGCTCGATTTTGACGCCATTAGCCTCTGCCTGCTTCTGCGCACGCTTCTTGAGCCGCCGCCGCTGGTTCTTGGTCAGTCCGCTGCCTGCAGCCATCGCCCCGGTGTCCGCCGCTTTAGCTTCCAGCTTGTGCTTCCCCCCAGTGCTTGGGACCCGCGAATATGCATGTAGAGATCCTACTATAAAGCATTAAAGCTGTTGATTGGGTGAAAATTGCGTTATCCGGAATTATCAGCCTTCCGTCTGTCAATTGTTGACAGTCAACATTAAAAACTCGATCCCTTCATGGAGCTCAAGGACGATGCCCTCACCAAGGCTGTCTTCTTCCTGTCCACGACGGGTACGAATCTTTAGCTAGTATGACGGATGTACGAGGGGTATTAGCTAACATTTGACGCGTTACCGACAGACAGCCGCAGCAAGCTCTACCGCCTGCTTCAGTATGGCTCCAAATTCACGAAATGGGCACTGATTCAGCTCTGGGAAATGGAAGGCAGCACCTCCAGCCACATGCAACAATGCGATAATGAGCCGGAGAAGACTCCATCGCCACATGAACTGAAGAAGCCGGCATCGGACTGGAAAAGGAGGGCGATAGCGTCACTGGGCCGAGCGGAGCTGATCTTCGGCGACGCTCGTCGGTTTTTCCGCTTCCTGCAGTTTTTAGAGATGGCAGACATTTACCGCCATGTTCGAGAGCCTCTCCGTGCGGTGAGGGTGCTACGAAGGCTGCGCATCCTGTGCTTCTTCTTCTTCTACTTTATTGAGAATTACGTCGTGCTCTGCACGCGCGTGCTAGGCGTATCGTCACGGGGACCGCTCATGCGGAGATTGAGACGCAGTTGCAACGGGTTTTGGTTATTAAGCATTCTGCTAGCGTTCCCGTTAGATTACATGATGCACCGTGGCACGATGCTTTCGACAGTGAAGAAGCTGCTTGAATTGCCAGTGGCGTTCGTGGGATTATCTGGGCTACGCGTGAACGACGGGCTTTTTAGTGCGCTGGGCTTAGCATCCGCACAAATAGGCGTGTACAGTCGATGGGCTGACGTGATGACTAAGTTCCAGAAGCAGCACTTGATGCGACTTGCAGCGACTCCTGACGTTATTTAGGGCAAGTCCTGAGGTTTTGTGCCACCCAGTTATCAGGAACTGTCACTACAATGTATGTAGGTTGGAACCTTTCAAATGCTTCTGGAGCCAAAGATTTTGCTCATTACTATAATGAAATGCCCTGCACCGAAACCACCATCGAGGTTTCACATGCTTTCAGCTCCACCACAACTGCCCAAAGAACAGCAGATGAATAAGCATGGCAGTTGCCTTCAAGCAGATAAGAAACATTAATTATACTGCATTCAGTATCATCTTGGCTTTTCCTTTTTGAGATGAAGCAAATGCGAGTGAGCTGTCACTATAATGTATGCCGCTGTCTCAGCTTATGGCATCAACGACAATAAAAAAACATGGATTCTGGTGTACGGAGGACAGTAGGGACTACAGTGTTCGCTTGCACTTCAGCATAGTCAAAAGCCCAGTTTTTCCGGTACATACATCGAGGAATTCGAGTTGAGTTCATGCTCACCATCAAGTCACAAAAAAACATTTTATAAAATCGCTTTTTGAATAAAAAGTACTTTGCATAGAAAAAGTGCGCATTGGTTTCGGCCCACTTTTGATCTTTTTTTATTATGGTGGGCCACAAGCAATGAGCAGTCAAGGCAAGAGCTTTTTTCAGGAAAAGTGCTTTATGACGTTTTCAGAAAATTTTTGAAAACGCTGCAAGTCACATGTCGTGCTCACGATTGGTGCAAACAGCTTTTTTTTTGTGAAGTCATGCAACGTGAAGCTCAACTTCCCAAATGGCTTCACTAAAAAGCTGTTTTCACCAATCCTGAGCGTTTTATCTAACTCCTGATTTTTCCACCACCTGTAACAGATAGGGGTTAGGCCATGAACTTTATAAATCTCAAGTCAAAGCAAGAACTTATCAAACTCGCCCCCGTTGCACCAGCCTCTCTCCCCACAGACGAAGCTGCAGGCTGCCAAACACCCGCTCGGAGGCACCTATTTTGACGCGACGCCTGGCCTCCTCCACTCCCAGTACGGGGACACACAGCACGGCACCGAGCGCAGCAGCGTCTCCGCTATCTATCGAGGCCTCACACGTGGCGATCGCCTTCGAATTCGCTGCAGGACGTGCTGCTGCTCTTCTGCGCCTCTAGAAGCTCTCTTCAAGTGTGCAGACGTCTGTAAGAGCACTCAGTATGAAGAAGTCTCCAGTAGCAGCCATGAGCAACATCCGTGAGGCGGTGCGGCGCAAGAGTGTGGGGCTTAGCTTCACTACCAACTTCAGCATCTTCAGCCGCAGCGGGGCCAGCTCCACAGGCGAGGATGACCGCTCGGAGCACGAAGGTGACGACTATAACGACGACTCGGAGAGCAGTCGCTACAACCGCTCGCGGCAGGACTCGGTGGCCGGTGAGGACGACCCAGACAGCAGTCCATCGCCCGCTGTCAGCTCTCGTAGCTCGTACGTGGAGCCTCCCGAGCCGCCACTGCCGCCTCCAGGGGGATTGCTGGAAGCAGCCACTAAGAATGTGCAGGGAAAAATGCAGACACTTATGGAGACCTTCCACGAAGTCACAACGTCCCATGTAAGTGGCGCTGGGCGAGATCTTTTTAGAGATGGCTACATTCTAATGGATTGGTCTGATATGATTTGTAGGACGATGAAACGATCCAGTGCAGCGTCTTCCTGTCCAGAACGGCCTTGTTTTCTGACCGACTCGTGGTGTTTATCGGCGACAGCGATGGATGTCCAGCAGGCATTTGGAGTGCTCGTCTGTGTGTTCGATCAGGGTCTGAAGGTGGCGGTATCTTCAAGGGCAGTTTGGGATCCATGCTGCCGTATATAATGAAGGCCAAAGAAGACAAGCTCGGCATTGTGCTATTTGACGACATCTTCAAGGATTCGATGCGGTCTGGAGAAATCGACGTAAGTTTTTTATAGTAAAATTTTCAAGGACAAGCAGACTAATATTTATTTTCACTATTGCAGATGAGGAGTGCTGTGCAGCGGTTTATGACGGGCTGGCGCAACCACGTGTTGACTTCCAGAGCCACGCACGTGTTTATCGTGGCATACCGAGATGGCGGGAGTCTGCTGGTGGAAGCTTTACGGTCGCACATGAAGGAGATGCAGCGTCACATTAGTGGAGTCGCCTTCTTGCAGTCTACACACCACATTTCATCGGACGACTCGTATACATTACGAAAGATGATTGCTCAGTGGTGCATCGCCTACTTGTCATCACCTGACGGTGTACAGGCGTTGAAACGCATGAAGTCGAGAGAACCCCCCTTGGGTTGCGTGGTTTTGTCGGCAGGCCGCACGAATTCGGACGTGGACTTGCTGCAGACTGTCGTGGCATCGGTGTATGCGAGCTTCAAGGCGAGATGGTCAGGTTTCCGCGTGAAAAACGTAAATAGCGGCATGGAGAAGGCTTGCTACTTGTGCAAGGGTCCATTCAACATGCGTCGTTGGCGCCGGCATTGCCGCACGTGTCAGAATCCTTGCTGTGAGAAGTGTTCGACTGTAGAGAACACACGTCACGAAGGCCAGGTGCGTCTCTGTTTGACGTGTCGGGCGCTGCCTTCACTCATCCACTGGTCGAGACCCCGTGCTGTCCGTACGGGTGAGAAGGAGAGCGTATTTAGTGGATCAGCCAAGCCCGGCAAGATGTCTGTGAATGATTTCGAGCTCGTCACGGTCATTGGCCGCGGTGCCTGCGGCAAGGTGCTGTTGGTGTTGAAGAAGGATGGCGCAGACGCTGGCCACTTGTACGCTATGAAGGTGCTGAAGAAGGAGTGGGTGATGAACAAGGATCTGGTCACTCAGACGATGGCAGAGCGCCGTATCCTGCAGGAGGCCAACCACCCGTACATCGTCCAGCTGAAGTACGCCTTCCAGAACCAGGACAAGCTTTACATGGTGATGGAGTACTACAGCGGTGGGTCGCTACGTCAGGTGCTACGACGTCGCGGTCGATTCAGTATCAAGCGTGCTCGGTTTTATCTGGCCGAGATCCTGCTCGCTATCGCGCATCTGCACACGTCGAACATCCTGTACCGCGATTTGAAACTAGAGAACATCGTCATTACTGCGGACGGCAATGTGGCGTGCACGGACTTTGGTCTTTCGAAGGAGGAGATGGATGACAACGAAAGAACGAGCTCGTTTGTGGGCACGTGCGAGTACTTGGCGCCCGAGTTGATTATGAAAGAAGGCTACGGCAAGGCTGTGGACTGGTGGGCGCTGGGTATCTTGGCGTACGAGATGATTCAGGGCGACTCGCCGTTCCGTCACAATGTGCCAACCATCCTGTTTGACAAGATTTTGAAGGAGGAGCCGGAATTCAGCGACCGCTTCACCCCGGAAGCTCAGGATCTGATTATGAAGCTGCTGACGAAAGACCCAGAGCACCGTCTTGGCTGTGGACCCGACGGTGTCGAGGAGATCAAGCAGCACCCGTTCTTCGCAGAGATTGACTGGGACAAACTGCTGGCTATGGAGATGGAAGTCCCGCGCCCTCCGCATCGCATGGAGGACGTGACTGACGAGAGCCATCTATCTCGCGCTATTGCCAAGATGCGCGAGGCACGTGAAGAGATCATGCCGGACTCGCCGGTGTCGTTGCCGTCGTCTCCGTCCGAGCAGAAGCACTTTGACCGCTTCTCGTACCAAGGACTGGGAGACTGGAAGCCCGAGATGGCTGACATGGAGTTTGATGAAGAGACGGGCGACTTCAAGCAAGGAACCATTCATGAAGACGAAGAGTTTGTGGAGGAGGAGTACATTGAGGAGTCTGGAGACGGTGACGGCGTGCCGCTGTCTCCTGGCTCGAAGGAAAACTCGATGACGTCCTCGAAGGCGTCTCCGTCCAAGGCTAACGGCTCGGATACTCCTCCAGCTTCGAGTTCGGCTGCATCAGCGTCCCCGAGGAGTCCACAGAGCGTGGGCAGCCCCGGCAGTCCGCCACCCGTGCCTATGAGCCCTGGTAGTCCCGAAGGTTCCGCGCCGTGCACGCCAACAGAGCCACAGTCCCAGACCATTTAGGGAAGCGCATTCAATTGTAGGCAGGGAGATACATACAGACCGTTTGTGGATGTAAATGCATGATGATGGTTGAGAAATCACATGAAGGGAGGAGCAGGGATGAAGGCAGGAAGGAGTGCGAGGGCAATGAGAGGCTGGGAGCTTCGAGTCTTGCGCCGCATTTTGGTTTAACGCGTTGAAGCGGGCTCTTGGCCAATCAACGACTTGATCAGGTCTCATTGCATGATTGTGTGACGTACTTCGTTGCCAGAAAAGGGAAGGGCTTCAGTAATCAAACCTGGCGTCCTATCAATGAAATATGAGTACTACTACAGCGTAGTAATACTTCTGTTCTCTATTTATAGCAACATGTACTACAGTAGTAGTGGAGAACGCACATGATCATCGTACCGCATGCTTGTAGATACATCGACCACACACAGAGAAATCTAGGCACCGCTCGTAAGAGTGGATTTTTGTTTTCCTTTATGCTTTCTGTGGTTGCGCATATTTACAAAATAGTAAATAGTTATACTATTCTCACAGTTGTCAATCCATACTCAAACTACTACATTCAATATTACATTTTTCTTAATACTATTGGCTCTGATTTGACAACCAGGATTGGGATCGTGCGGTTCTGCTTCGACCCCCTGTTCTCACTCTTCAATTCGAAGCGGAAGACCAGACTCCTCACTTTTTCGTCATGTTCGCCAAGACCGTCCGCTCGATGGCCGCTCCCGCGCGCCGCGGCTTCGCCACCAGCCAGAAGATCAAGGTGCACAAGCCCATTGTGGAGCTTGACGGCGATGAGATGACGCGCGTCATCTGGTCGCAGATCAAGGACAAGTACATCCACCCGTACCTTGACCTGGACATCGAGTACTTCGACCTGGGTCTGCCGCACCGTGACGCCACCAACGACCAGGTGACCATCGACGCTGCCCACGCCATCCAGGAGCACAACGTCGGCATCAAGTGCGCGACCATCACTCCTGATGAGCAGCGTGTGGAGGAGTTCAAGCTCAAGAAGATGTGGCGCTCGCCCAACGGCACGATCCGTAACATCCTCAACGGCACGGTCTTCCGTGAGCCCATCGTCATCTCCAACGTGCCGCGTCTTGTGCCTGGCTGGAAGAAGCCCATCGTCGTGGGCCGTCACGCCTTCGGTGACCAGTACAAGAGCACGGACTTCATTGCCCCTGGTCCGGGCAAGTTCGAGGTCGTGTACACGCCCGCGGACGGCGGTGACAAGCAGACGTTCGAGGTGTATGACTTCAAGGGCCCCGGCGTGGGTCTGGCCATGTACAACACGGACGAGAGCATCTACGGCTTCGCCAAGTCGTGCCTGTCCTTCGCTCTGAGCAAGAACCAGGACCTGTACCTGTCCACCAAGAACACCATTCTGAAGAAGTACGACGGCCGCTTCAAGGACATCTTCGAGGAGGTGTACCAGAGCGAGTTCAAGGCCAAGTACGACGCCGCCGGCATCTCGTACACGCACCGTCTGATCGACGACATGGTCGCCCAGGCTCTTAAGAGCGACGGCGGCTTCGTCTGGGCCTGCAAGAACTACGACGGTGACGTCCAGTCGGACATCGTCGCCCAGGGCTACGGCTCGCTTGGTCTGATGACCAGTGTTCTGGTTGCTCCCGATGGAAAGACGGTGGAGGCTGAGGCCGCTCACGGCACGGTCACGCGTCACTGGCGCCAGTACCAGCAGGGCAAGAAGACGAGCACCAACCCCATTGCCTCGATCTACGCCTGGACGCGTGGTCTCGCCCACCGCGGCAAGCTTGACGGCAACCAGGAGCTCGTTAACTTCTCTCTGGGCCTGGAGGACGCCGTGATCAAGACGGTGGAGGCCGGCCACATGACCAAGGACTTGGCTATCTGCATCCACGGCTCCAACGTGACCCCGGACCACTACTTGTACACGGAAGACTTCATGGACAAGGTCAAGGACACCTTCGACGCCACGCGCAACTAAACTGCCAGGGGATTGAAGAGGGAGAGTATACTGACAAAAATGAGCTTTCTATCTACAATCTACAGTATACATGTATACGCAGTTAGCAAGCTCTAAATGTAGTCAACAACCGACCAGAGGTGTAGTACTCCATTGCCGTATCATGCTACATTGATACTGATTCGACTACTACAGGCAGTAGTAATGAACACCACTAGACGCTGACAACTCCGCAACAGCACAAACAGGAATTCATGGCAGCGCCTGCATCAGCTCGCAAGGATGGCTCGATTGCTGTGGCTAATGTATCTGGATTACCAGCTCGTGTATCTCTATTGCAGCGTGGTCAGAATCGAGAGCAGTATCTGAAAACCAAGGTCAAAGCCACTAAACCTGTTGGAAATCGAAATTTAATTCGACGTGCTACTTCGCGAGCGACGGCATTCACTAGATCAGCGAAGAACATGCTCTCAGCCGATGACGACCATCTAGATAGCCTACTAACAGCGGTCTCCGAGTCGATTAATGCTCCTGAAAATCTTTCACAAGGCCAACAGAACGCACTGGTGCTTCAAGCTGTACTTGGCCTTTGGACAAACCGCCACCAAGCGCGAGGATTTCGTCGATGGAAAGAGAGTACACTGAATCGAGTGGACTTGCAAGCTCTGATCGACGCGGGTGTCGATGTACACGAAGAAGCTCGACAATTACTACTTTCAGCTGAGACTAAGAGGCGATTGCTAGCTAACCAACACCGAGTTTCTAACGACGATGACAAGTGGATGGCAGCCAGTTTTTCCTACGCCGAGTTGGATCTATTACTTGCATGGGTTCGACACACGCAGCCCAAAACGTGTCGAGGGGTAGACGACAAAACAATGCGCGAAGTTCTCCGATACTTGCGCTTCAGTCAGTATCAAGAGGGTGAAGCGATCTTCTTCCAAGGTGATAAAGGCGATGTATTTTACCTTGTCCTACAAGGCACTGTCGGCATTTATGGTGCGAAACGTACGCAGCCAGACAAAAAGCGTCGAGGTGACAGTGCTGCCAGTAAACGTAGAAGTGTCAGTACTCGTGAAAAGCCCGACATGAACTTGATGGGTCCGAGGATCTTCGCATACCGTGCCGGTGAAAGTTTCGGCGAGACTGCGATGTTCACGAACGCCGCTGTGCGTACAGCTACTGCAATTGCGTTCGGTGACACGACTTCAGGTTCCGGTACGGGATCTGTCTGTGAACTTTGCGAGTTGTCACGAGCTGTGTACTCCCGTACACTGAAAAGATTCCACCAACATTCTTTCATGCAAGCCCAACGGGTGAACTTCGCTCAGCGAGTATTTCTCTTCCGAGACTGGCCGAGACCTCGAGTCGTAGAGTTAGCTGAGGTGCTGGAGCTTCGTCGAATCAGTTTTGGCGGAGTATTGCTCACTGGAGGAGTCTCCCCACTCTCGCACTGCTTCTTCGTACTCAGCGGAAGTGTCAAGCTCACCACTCAAATAGAGATCAACTCGCATTCGGATCCATCCAAGAGCACAGTCTTGAAGAAGGCACAACGTCGAGCTCAGGTTATTATCGAACTTCACACTGTTCAGGTCGGCGAAATCGTCGCACTAGAAGCTTTACTTGAAGAGGACGACTCTGCTCGGGTCACGTACACGGCAGTAGGCGGTTCAGCGGATGTCGAAGTGTACGCATTAAAGCGTACAGATGGCCGAGCCTTCCTTGCCAGTAGCACAACAAATAGTATGCACCAGATTCAGGCCATTTGCACGTCCGAACGTGTTCATCGTGAACAACGTATCAACGTTGCACGGAAAGCTCTTAGAGCTCACGAAACCATCAACAAACAGCATCGTTTAGATCTGGAAACTGAGGCCTTGGAGCTCGGACTTTCAGAGAAACAGCAGCAGCAACGACAAAAGCAACAGGAACTGGAAGAACTCAATCAACCGAACCCGCGAGGCCCAGTCGGACTACGTCCGTTCTTGCCTCATTTAGACCCAATGAAGCTACTCGACGAGACCAAAAGACCAGATACTGAACCTCGAGGGTTAAACCGAGAGATCGAGATCGATACGTCGCTAGGTGAAGTGGCGGTGCCACCGAAAATGCTGTCAACTCTGGTGAAAAACTTCGTCGTTCGTGACTGGGACACGCTCTCAGAGGACTATGCTCAACGGTTGACTCTTAAGCTTCCTGTACGCAGTCCTCTCTCTCCACTTGTAAACCGTGCGCCTCTTTCCTTGACTTGCAGATACGACGCAAAGGTATCGACACCTACGCACACTGCTCGACGAAGTCACGTACCAGCTACCATCTCAGCGAGAATCAGTGACGAACGATTCACACACGACTCGCACATGCGGCAGCTCAGCATGAATTACGACGCCAAGATGCATTGGGATCCGAACAAGAAGACTTTGGTGCTGCTATCAGCGAATAAACCCACACAGCCACAGCAGAAACGCGCGTTCGGGAGCTTCAACGTGATTGCCAATGATCACCAAACGGCACGGAAATTGCCAGATACACTCGTCGAATGAGTCTCGAAGTCTTGAAGCTCCTTCTGGTGATCAATACTGTAGCTTTATTATTCTTGTGACCTCTAACTCCAAATAACACTCACGATGCTGTATGCTAACCTACTTCATCTCTGTATCGGGTGCAATCGGGGTGAATGGTGCAGGCTTTAAATTTTTGGGAGCAATGGCAACTTGACCGGACCCTGATGAACTCGATGACGAATGTGATCCCAACTGGGACGAAATACTGGAAAACGCTGAACTAATAGGGAAGCAGTTGGTACCCTAAGAAACACAAATTAGTAAAAAAAAAAAAAAAAAAACTTAGTGAAAATCCAGCAGAACAGGTTCAAAATTGAGATGTACTTACCGGATTGCACGGGACATTGAGCGGATGCGTGTGTACTGCCTGCATTCCGCTTGAGACTGCTGCTTGTGGATCGTGCGGGTTAAGGAGTTGTCCCGACGGGTTCATATGCTGGTTGGGTTGCGTCATAGCAGCAGCCACAGACCCAAGGTGCGAGTACTGTAGACACGTCGCCAACTTGCTAACTTCTTGCTGCAGACGGTCACGATCTCGACGTAATTCATCTCGCTCCCGTTTCAAGCTCTTGATAGCAGACACCGCTTCCTGCAAGATCGCACTCTTACGAACGCGGTTCGAGAGTCCCAGCAAGTCAACTAGCTCTTCAAACTAAAAAAAAAAGAGTCGTTAACTGAATAATCTAAAAAAAAAAAAAAAAACAACAACCAGATAACGCACCTTGACATTCACCTCTTGACGTCGCATCTTCTCGCGCGATTTCTTCCGGTATCCTCGGTCGTCTTCCGGTGTCGGTGACGGCGCACTAACCGTAGCTGTGCTGCCAATAGTCGAACATCCGCTAGGGTCGCATGCCACGGTCATGAAGTCAAAATCACTGGTAACCAGTAAGCAAAATTCATACAAAATCCACCACTCCTCCACACAAGCATGGAAAAAGAGAGTGTTCCGTACCGTTTAAACGCAGCAGCAGCTCCAAAACTGTTCATGTCATCGTCGTCATTGTTCAAAATGTTCTGGCATTGCGGACTCGGCACCTTAGGGGCTGCAGGTTTAATACTACCACCCAATGGTGCCGCTTTGGTTGCAGACGAAGCTGCAATCGGCAACGCCGCAGGTTTCCTGTGTTGGTCCAGACTGAAATTCGCCAGTTCTATCGCATCTCTCGCTGTTCGGTTCATCATGGCCACATCCGGTTTGGCACTAGCTGGGGTCAATCCGGTCTGGAAAAGATTGGCAAAGTCCTTCCTGGGCGAGCCAAAGCCCAGTCCCACTCCGAGTCCATTGCCATGCTTCAGCATCTCCGAGATACTGGCCAGTGGCGGAGACGTCAAATGCTGAGTAGAAGTTCCAGTATTCTCGGCGGGAGGTGCTCCTGTCTGCTTGGGATTTTGCTGCTCTTCATCCGTGTAACCCAATGAAAAGCCCTTCCAGTTGTCATTAATGTCCGTCTGCAAGAAATACTCGCCCAAGTCCTCAATCTGCAGCCCCGACATGTCCTCGTCAAAGTCCATCGTCGGATTCTAGGCTAATAAAACTATATAGTTTAACACATACAGTGAGGTTAGAAATGCCAATGGTCAGCCACCCATTTACTCTAATTGAAAAATACTCGGCAAATATTGAGCATGTCACAGTAATTAGTTGCCTTTACCTTTTTGCAAGTGTCTGTTCCGCCTTCGGAAAATAACTCACGGCACCACTCACAATAGAAAGTGGCAGGAGTGCGCAGCTAGAGAAAAGGATGTGGCCGTCGGAATCCGTGCCCCTCGTACGTGGACCAAGACGTCCGTGGCGTCGGCGGGTTCGGACTGTGGCATCATGGGGCGCGCATGCGGTCACCGATAATGACGTTCAGCCAATCGGTGCGCCAGAAAAGCATTTTTGACCAATTGACGGCCGGTTGGCGCGTGCCTCCAAAGGTGGAGAATAGCCGAGGCAAAAGTAGATGTGCCGAACACAATTGTTAAACTACTCTAAAAAATTACTTCGAAGTACTGTTTTAATCTCCAGGCATTCGAAGTAAGATTCGCCTTGGCTTGTTTACCAAGAGATTACTTATACAAACCGAACGTTTGTATCAGGATATTATATCTCAAAGCAGGTAAAGTATGAGAGCAGTAGGTAGGGTATCAATCAATCAGAAGGGTTATCCCGCCGGTGCATCAGCACCACTACAAGGAGATTACGGGACGCGAATTGTAAAACAATAATGTTAGCAAAGTTGCGGCTCGCAACGACATCGTTTGGCTTGAGAAGTTCTCTTACTGTGTGCGCCATCGTTTTATAAAACGTGAAGTTTATTCCAGCGGTAGGTGTCTTTTGAACATACTGCCGAAACCCTCTGAAAAAATGCTTTTCATTGACGTCAGCTAACAAAATATAGAGATACCGAAGTCATCTCAACTATTAGCGCTACCGGTAGTCTATGTATGTTCTTCCTGTCTAGCAGGTGCATATAGCTACGCCGGTAGCGTAGCTATATGATAGCTAACCTCAGCAACTTTTCAATATTGTAGAGCACAATAGGGGAGTACACCGGATAAATATCAATTCTGCGCGTACATGTATTAATACGTGTACTTCCTTCTGGTGGCATTTCGAGTTGCCTCCGATTACATCTATTCTAATACATACGCTACAGAACTGGCATTGACACGAAAAAGTAATGATTTGACAAAAATCGTACTCTAAAAAATAAAAAACGTCAATCAAAATTTCTGATTCCCGCCAAAATCCCATTTCGGTCATTCGTTCCCGCCACCATGTCGACCATGCAGCAAGCTCAGGTTGCGACGCGCAAGCGCCCTGCGGAGTCAACGGTGGAGGCACCCAAGCGTGTCAAGACCGAAGTTCGAGCACGTCCGTCGCTAACTGAGCTGCTGTCCCGAAAGGCAGCGACAGAGCCGCAGCTGTCGCTCTCCCAGACGTCGGAGGACTCGGACGTGCCTCTAGCGAGGCTCGCAGCACAGCAGAAGGCCAAGCGAGCGGCGGAACTCAAATCCAAGACGCAACAGAAGCAACCACGAATGCAGTCCAAAGCTCATGGCAAGACAACGGAGCAGGGCGACGTGGTGTTCGAGCTGTCGAGTAAACGCCGCATAACGGTGCGCAAGTGGAAGGGCATGAAGTTCGTCGACATCCGCGAATTCTACGACAGTAACGGGGAGGCCAAGCCCGGCAAAAAAGGTCAGTAACTATTGGTTTATATGAGTACTATTGATCTGCAATACTGAATATTGTTGAATGCTTTTAAACGCAGGTATCTCGCTCTCTCCAGATCAATGGGAAAAGCTCTACAGCTTTTCGGATGCAATTACAGAAGCTATCGAGTTAGTAGAGGAAGACAAAGTGGGGATTGAGTCACTTGCCGGCGTACCAGGCTGCATTCTGCGGCCTGATGGAGACATCCGAGCCATCGCGTTGCCGGTGCGTTCAACGGCTTTAACGTGAGTACAGTTCTTGCAGCTAACACAATTTTTTATGCAGCTATCGAGCAAACGCCGCGTTACCGTTCGCTACTTCCGCAACGCGGTTTTGATTGATATCCGTGAGTTTTACGAGCAGGACGGAGTGGCGAAACCCGGCAAGAAGGGCATCTCGCTCTCGAAATACCAGTGGGTCGCACTGGGAGAAACTGCGGACGAGATAACACAAGCAGTTGATCGCCTATAACTTGAAAAAAAACCAAGGCAGGACGAGAGTGGAAGTGAATTTTTTTTTCAAGGCATACGTGGCAAAGGCTGCGTTACTAGTAAACTATTTCAAACGGCCACACGTTGACGCTTGTGCGGACTTGACGCTGTTGTCAGCACTTCTGAGCGTGAGCGCTTTTCTGTGTCCGTGCTGCTTGACGCTTTGGCTTCAGATGTGGTGCTTGCCGCTCGCGACTCTGACGTAGGTGCCTTGGTTGGGGACGCGTCAAGGACATCGTCCGACTTTGACGGAGTAGAACGCGCACGGGAGTTATCCTGGTTAACCTCTTTCGACTTACGCTTCGGTGATAGTGCTTTCTCCGGAGTAGCCTTGTCTGTCGTCTCATTCTCCTTAGCAGACTGTGAATCTTCATTGCTGCTGGTTGCATCGTCTTGCTGTGGCTGCTCCTTCTCCGTTTCCGAAGACTGTTCAACCTTGCACACTATTTCATCGGACTGTTTGTCTCCAGACTGCTCAGGAGAGCTTGGACGATCACCCGAGGACTTATCAGGCGAATCAGTCTGCTTACTCTGAGCGTAATACTGGTCCTTTGACTGCTGCAGTTGCTGTGGGTGAACACTGCCAGCCCCGTTGTGACTGAAGTCGGAAGGAACTAGATTGAGACCGAGGACGCTGTTCTTGTTGTCGTGAAAATCTCCTGCCATTCCTCCACTGAGCATGGGGTGGTGGCCGAAGAGACCTGCATTCTGCGGACTGAAATCGTGAAGGAGCATGCCGGCTGTGAAAAAAAAAATCGCCGTTAGTTAAACATTCAACATGAACGAGCTCATGTTCGTTACAAAACGTACTTGTTGGTGACGGCAGAATACCAGAGAGGTTGGGTGGACTCGGTAGTGGGCCAAGCATGTGGTGACCTGACATTCCTCCTAACATCCCCATCTACCAAAAACCAGGTTGGTTAATTGAGGGAAACCACGGAATATACCGAAAAACAAACGTACCCCGTGTTGATACAATGGAAGCGACGGTGGGGTGTAACCAACGTGCTCCTTTTTGAGAAGTTGCTGGAAACCGCGATGCACCCGCTTCTTCTGGGTCGGAGGTCGACTGCGTGAGTTGAGCATGTACTGGTCAGGGTCATTAGTGAGTCCCAGTGAGGCACCGTTCATGCCTCCATGCATGTTCTGGAATGACTGCACTGCAGCTCCGTTGGGGGTCGATCCATGGGCCATGTTGAAGTTGCCTGAAGCTTCAGCGTTGGCTCCAGCCGCTGCTGCCGCCGCTGCCTCCTTGGCTGCTTGTTGCAACTGTTTCTTCTTCTCTCCGAACATGATTTCATACTGCGAAAAGACAAATTATCAGCCATTGTTGCGAGGTATGAAAAATGCACAGATACTCACGTCATTGTTGTCCTTGGTTTCGTAGGGCTCGCCGTATTCAGTGTACTTGAGCAGGATCTGGTCCACACTGGTGCTCGAGTATTGGTAGAGCTTCTCGTTCGAGTCGAACACGATGAGCGCGATCTCGCAGTCGCAGAGTTTGGACAGCTCCATGGCCTTCTTGAAGATGCCATTCTTGCGCTTGGCAAAAGTCACTTGGCGATTGCGATCGTCCTCAATGCGCTTGATTTGGATCTTTTTGCGGCCCATTGTGTTTTAGTTGCTGCTGTCACGGAGAGAGTTAGCAGAGGATCTTAGAGGCATCAACACGCCGTTGACGCACCTGGTGGAAATAGCGCTGTCGAATATAGCCGATATTTTTATCGGGAAAAAGCAGGAGTGCCGGAAATACCGGGCTGCAGTCGAGCTTGGAGGCGCCGAGCTATTTTTGCAGTGGTGGGCTCCGAGCTGCGTCCGGGTAGGGAGTTATTTTTATCCGTTTTTCTCTCGATCGGGAGGGGCTGCCGTTGCAATCGGTGGAAAGCCCCAAGCCCACAGCCGTTGTGAAACCTGCTGGGTCTAGCAAAAAAGTTTGGCAAATATGCACGCGATCTAGGATTTCTATCTTTGGACTGGCGACCGTTAGCGACCGTTACGTTAGTGCCGGCGAATGTGGCCAGAAAACTCGAAAGGACGCTTGTCTTGGCTTTTGTATGCTGGAAGATCGCCTACGTTGAAGTGCGACGGGTGGTTTCCGCTGAGTGCGGGATCTTTTCCATACAAATGGCCTGATGGCGATGGCTGGCGAAGGCGCGAGTGTTTCTACAGCCTCGGCGGTGTCGAAACTGCTTCGTCAACGGGACTCGGGCCAGTCACTGGCAGCACGCATTAGTGCTCGATCCCGCGACTGGATGGCTGGCCCCTTGGCTGCGCGCACTGCTGTCCAAACGTCTCATACCAGTTGATTTTCAGCTTGGCAAACGGCTTGCTTCGGCACCTCTGCGCCGTCGTTGATTGATTCTGTGAAGGTGTCTACGACGGCAAAACGTCAATGAGCAGACTGGGCCATCCTTTAATTGCCGACATGGCTGAATAGATCTATTTTTTTTAAGTGTTAAGTGGTAAATGCGCATCAACTTCTTCATCAGTGTAACCGGCGTCTTTGAGTTGTTTTCTTGCTAGCAGCAGTCGAGTCGTGTTGTCGATTTCTACTGATCGTCGTTTAGCATTGATAAGTTCCACTTCTGCATTAGCCTTGGCCTCCTCGCGGGCCTCTCGTCTCATCTCAAGCTCAAGTTTCTTCTCTTCAAGCTCCAGCCACTCCGTGTCGGCACTGTCACGATCTTGTGGCCTAGGTTCTTGCTGTTCTGTCCGTCTCAGTGTCATATGCCAGTCATGGGTTTCCTCACTGGTGATTTCTGCAATACTAAGTCGTCGCTTTCGATTTCTTTTATCGCTGTCTTCATTCGTGTTGTTTATTGTTTGGCAGGGTGCCGATGCGGGGTTATCGGCCATCACGCGTGCGAGCTGATAGTAGCAGGGACACAACTGAAGAATAGCCGAGCGGATCGAAGCATCATCAGTTGTTCCCTGTCCTGTGCTAGCCAGCCAGTCGATAGCTCGCCTGTATTGTTTTTCAAGATAACGAATTTTGTCACGCACGTCTGCTGACTTCCTGTGCGTAATGCCGACATCTTTCAACTTGTCGATAATTACTCCACATAACGCTTCCTTTGTCGGGCCGGTTGAACTATCGCCTCCCTTCCACATAGCGTAGTTGCCTTCAGCTGTCAGCCAGTCCAGTAAAACCTTCATTGAGCTCGGTCCGCCTTTTACTCCATCGCGATCCCACAAGATTTTCATCGTTTTTGTGGTTTTGCCGTCGAGAAAACCAAACTGAAATGCAAACGAATTTCAGCCAATAGAATTCGTTTGAAAAAATAAGAACAACATTCACGCAACACGCGCAACAATATGTCTGATTCTGACGCGTCAGCTCAAAAGACACTGAATATGGCGGCGAGCGTGCGCAACACCGCCATCAAGCGCATCCAGGGCGTGCGTGCATCTCCACCGTTCCGATCTCCTAATAAACGTCATACTCACTCTCTTCTGTAGGATGTGCGTGAGATGATGACCAACCCAAGCGACCAGTACGCAGCGGCGCCGCTCGAGGTGCGTTCCTTTCAACCTAAGAGGCGGCGAAAAACATTCATCACTCTAACACTCTGCTCTCTATAGACTAACATGTTCGACTGGCACTTCACGCTGCGGGGGCCACGCGACACGGAATTCGAGGGCGGCATCTACCACGGCCGCATCATCCTGCCGTCTGACTACCCGTTCAAGCCACCGAACATCATGCTTCTCACAGTACGTAGCCTATTTCTTCTGTATTCTTGAGCTCAAGTGTTGACAATTTGACACTGTATTTCTATAGCCCAATGGCCGCTTCGAAGTGAAGAAGAAAATCTGTCTGAGTATCTCGGCGTACCATCCGGAGGAGTGGCAACCTGCGTGGGGCGTCCGACTGATTTTGGAGGCTCTGATCAGCTTCATGCCCACTAAGGGCGAGGGCGCTATTGGCGCATTGGACTTTCCTGCTGAAGAGCGCAGGAGACTCGCCAAACTGGTGCGTGGCAATGGATTTAGTGAATGTTTAAAGATGCTGCTAATTTTTTTTTTTTTTACTGTTTAGAGTGTGGACTACAAATGTGAAACTTGTGGACGAGTAGCGGACTTACTACCGGAATTGGAATCAGAGAATGAGGAAGAAACGGAGAAGAAACCTTCCAAATATGCAGAGCAGATCGCTCAACTGCACATGCACAGCTTGGAGAGTGCCACAAAGAACAAACAAGAGACTGAGAGCGTCTCCAGTGACGTTAATGAAGACAGCAAACAAGAGGCTAGCGCTGCTACGGGAGCAGAAGCAGCTCAAGAGGAGGAATCGACTGAAAGCAAACATATGAAGACAGAAACTGCAACAGAAGTCTCTGAGTCTGCTACTTCCACTCCACCTACAGTCACAGATGCATCGCCTACTGAGGAGGCAGTAGAAACCACACCGGAAGTGATCGACCATCATGTGGATACACCAATTGCTGCTCCTAATATTGCTCAAGTGCGCGAGTCAGACAGCGTGGATACTTTCCTCCACTATTTGACTGTTGCCATCGTTGTGGCGTTATTCGCGCTGATCTACAAGAAGCTGCTACAGATGCACGGAATACTGCAATAAACAGAGGAAGCGTGTTGCGTAAGTAGTAATTGCATTGCGTATGCTTGAACCTATATCCACTTACACCATGTCGTCTATTGGTTGTGTTCCTCCAGAATCTCTTGCATGATGCTATTTGCAAGCTCCGGGTGAACTCGACCGCCACACTGTTTCATCACTTGACCGATAAAGAACCCGAAGAGCTGAGTCTTTCCCTTCCAGTATGCGTCCAGGTTCTTCTTCGATTTCTACAGTCCATCACAAAACGTTAGCCCACAAGTAAATCACATCATTACACTACTAGACAGCGTACGGGGTCATCGAGAACAGCTCGACAGAGTGCGCGGATCTCTTGCGGGTCCTGAATCTGCTTCCACCCCTTCTCCTCCACAATCTGCAGTGGTGTCTTCTTCGCCTCATTCTCGTAAAACATCAACTCCAGTACATCCTTGGCGATCTTACCGGAGATCGTCCCGTCCTGAATGAGATCAATCAATGCACCAAGCTCCGTAGCTGCAACGGGAGAGCTGGCAATGTCGCCGTTCACTGCCTTCAAGTGTCCGAACAGATCGTTAAGCACCCAGTTCACAACCACCTTCGACGGTCGAGAGTTTTCAGCTGCGATCGTCTCGAAGTAGTTCGCAGCACCAGGCTCGTTCACCAGCACTGAACTCTCGTACGAGGTGAGGTCGTACTGCGCACAAAGGCGATTTTTCAGTGCATCAGGGAGTTCAGGCATCTTCTCGCTAATCTCGTGTATCAATTTCTGCGAGAAAACAAGAGGAGGCAGGTCAGGCTCTGGGAAGAAGCGATAGTCCTTTGCCCCCTCCTTGGACCGCATGCGTTTAGTTTCTCCCGTGACGGCATCGAACGAGCGCGTCTCGCGGTGCACTTGGCCGCCTTCTTGTTCAATCAGTGCGATTTGTCTCCTGGCTTCGTATTCCGCTGCTCGCATCATGTTGCGGATGCTGTTCATGTTCTTCACCTCCACTCGCTCGCCGAAAGGAGCAGTAGTGCTCGACGTCAGTGCGTGGTGGAGAGTATCCACATCGGCTTCTTCTCCTAGGTTCGTTGGTCGCACACTCACGTTCAAGTCGCAGCGCATGGAACCTTCCTCCATGTTTCCATCGCATACGTCCAAGTGACGCAGTAAATGCTGCAGCTGACGCATGACTTGACCTGCTTCAACGGGACTTCGAAGATCCGGCTCCATCACAATTTCCAACAGCGCAGTACCGGCACGGTTTAAATCCACTACTGTACTGTCGTCTTCTAAGTCGTGGTTGCTCTTGCCTGCAATTTACACGCAATATTAGCTCTCAAACATCACCATTAGAAAAACGCTAAAAGTACCTGAGTCCTGCTCAATCTGAATCCGCGCAATGCGTACACTCCTCGAGATCACGTCCTACAAACCAGCAGCCATTGTCAATTAATTTCCACTAGTCTGTGCATTGTATCTTTCTCTCACCTGCTGCTGCTTGGCTTGTTTGGCCTTCCACTTCTTCAGCGCTTCGTTCTTCTCCCTCCTGGACTTGTACTTAGACGCATCGAACGTGGATTCGTCGCTCTGTGCACCTCCGTGTTCACTCACCACGGCCGACTCCGGAAGTTCGAAGTGCAGTGATCCTCCTGACGCTACTGGAGCGCGCTGTTGTGTCAACTGGTAACCCAGCGGCAGATCGCAGTAAAAATAGTGCTTGCGTTCGAATAAGCTGCGCGGATGCACCGTGGCGTTCACTGCTAGACCTGTGCGGATAGCTTGGTGTACACATTCGCGGTTGATGACCGGCAGCGTGCCTGGAAGCGCCGCGTCAAAGAAACTCACGTTGCGATTCGGCCGCGCAGACGCCAATGTGGACGCTGCAGCGCCACTCATGAGCTTAGAGCGGCTCAGCACCTGCGCATGAACCTCTAGGCCAATGCAGACTTCCCAGAGCTTGCCGCTCGGGCCGCGCAGCAGCTGCAACAGCGGCTGACGCGCGCCATTAGCCGCCACTTGAGCCATAGTGATGATGATTAGGAATGTGAGCCGCTCGTTTTTTTATGATGGACTATAAAAGACTAGGTTTTGTGTATTCACAAATTTTGTCTAGACACTTTTTACAGTCGAGCTGCAAGTTGGAGGTTCTTGAGGTCGGAGAGGACGGCGTTGGTGGTTGCTTCGGGGTCTTCGAAGATCAGCAAGTGCGACGTTTTAGGTAGCGGCTCGTGGTTCGTGTAGATGTCCGGGTGAGCTGTCACGAACCCGTCGAATACATTTTGGTCGAACAGCTTCGTGCGATCTCCGCTGTGGAATGTGACCGGGCAACGCGGTGCAGCTAGCTCGCTTTCAGTCAGAACCAGTCGAGATCCAGCATAGATGGAGGCTTCAATGATCGGGTCGCATGCAAGCACTGCGGCATGTTGCTCTTCGTCGAACACAACTGCACCGCTGATCCAGCTCGCGAGCATTTCACGATCCCAAGTCGAAAAATTCTTCCAGTTGTTGAAATGCGTGGTTGCATCTTCCATAGAAGGCCTGTGCGTATCAAAAGCATCGTAAATGGTTACGCTACATTCTCCGAAACTTCCACCAACTCAAAACACGTACCATTTCTTTTCTCGAGCCAATGTGAGCGATACCAGGAAGTCAGCTTTCTTTTCGTATTCAGTGTCGACCTCTCCATATATCGGCTCAAAGAGTATCAGCCCGTCAAAGGTACCAGGGTGTTTCGCTTCCGTAGCCCAGAGTGCAGCAGCCCCCATCGAGTGGCCAATGCCAATTAACGGACGACGCTCTATTCCAGCCGACTGCAGCTTCTGCACTTGCATCCACGCTGCATCCGTGCTAATCTCTGGCCAGTTGTTCATCGGGTGCCTTACACGCGGCGAGTTGCGGTCGTCGTTCTTGTAGTACACTTGACCAGGCACGGAATTGTCGCGATTCACGCCATGATACGGCTGGTCGTAGGTCACATAGTGCTCCACAGCGCCTTGCAGCAGCGGAGAGAGCTTCAGACGACGGATAACCGGGTCCCAGACCTGCTTGCAGAAGCCCGTAGCATGCGCGAACAGCAGTGTCGCCATGGTATAGTTGATTGGCAAATCAGTTTGCCAGATGAACAAATTTGGACTCACACGTCAATGTGTGAATCAACAATTATGGTGATTGTGGTGATTGTGACCTTCACTCTGACTGATTGTTTACGAGACAGTAGGGTTTACAGCCTGGCATCAGTGGAGAAGCAGCCCAGGGCGTCAAGGTCCGTGACAATGGCTTTTGCACAACCTTCCGGGTCTTCGAACACCATTAGGTGCGACTTGCCGATCATGGGGGCATGGACCGTGAATATTTTGGGATGGCGAGAAGCGATGTCCTCAAAGACCTCTTGGCGATACAACCTGGAGGTGCTGCCGCTGTGAAACGTGGTAGGGCACTTGGTCTTAGCCTGCTCTTCCTCCGAGAGCCACAACCGACCGCCGCAATAGATCGACGCTTCAATGGCCGGGTGGCACGCCAACACGACAGCTTCGTCATCCGACTCGTCGGGAACGATGGCGCCTTGCATCCAACACGCCAAACTCTCGCGGTCCCACGACGAAAAGCTCTTCCAGTTCTCAAAGAAAGAAGTTGCTGCTTCTCTTGATGGCCTACGCGTACAATGCAAAGCAGTTGATATCTTACCAAAACGTCAACGCAGTTGCAGTCTATTGGTACCATTTCCACTTGCGCCTCAACGTGACGTCCGCCATGAAGTTGTATGGACGGTTCGGGCCTTCCGGCATTGGCGGTCCATAGATTGGCTCAAACAGCACGAGCGCCCTGAAGGTCCCGGGACTGGTGATCTCCGCCTTCCAGAGCGCCGCCGCGCCCATCGAATGACCGATCCCAATCACTGGTCGCCCACCAGAGCTCAACCGCTCAGCCGTCTGCAACAGAGCAACGGAGGCCACTGCGATCGCATTGTTGGCGGGGTGCGTCACATGGGGACCTTTCTCATCCACTTGAGCGACGACGCTGTTGTCCCGATTGGATCCGTGGAAAGGAAGATCCACACTCACAAATTCCACGCCAACCGGGTTTTGCAGCAGAGCAGACTGCTGCATATGGCGGATGATCGGAGCCCAGATTTCCTTGCAAAAGCCGGCGCCATGTGCGAACAGCAGCACAGGGGGCATCGCCATACTGTTCTCACTTTTGATTGTGACCAGATTTATCCGAAACTATGTGTGATAAGCAAAATTTGATTACGCCGAGAAGTTGAAGTGTTGGTTGATGCTGGCAAGGTTGTGTTGATCTGCTTCACTACCACGCGATCATTGCAAACGCGTGACAAAGCCATTCTCAAGTTGATGGCGTAGATGATCTACGCTAGCTCGTGGTGGCAGCAATGTCATGAGTAGCCAAGAATGGAGCAAAGTCCTTAGAAAGAAAATATCCTTGAGATGAAGAACCTCACAATGAAGAATGCGCAGAAGCGATCTCCGCTGTCTAAAAACATGGCTGCTTCAAGTAAGGGCTCTAGAGCAAAGGTTTTATTAGTAATAAAGCCACATGAAATGGGCATGCTAGCGAACTATTCTAGACAATTAATTGTCCGGCGTAGCCTTTATAAAAAAAAATATCGGCGACGTGGACACCGCTTTCCCGCCTGAGATAAATACAAGGAGGTTCCTCAGTAAAGTGCTCCTTCATAGTAAACGCTGATGTCATCAAAGACTCACGCCATTTCGTGGTGACCAACCCAGCTGCAGGCTCGCAATCAGGCAATACAATACGGAAGACACCGTTAAATTAAATCACCAAAGATGAAACCAGGCAATTGACACTACCGTAGCGATGAAGTTTTTTTTTCTTGTCGCTTTCTGCAATCGAATGAATAGCCATAAAAATTATGCTTGCGAATCCGATTGCGAGCCCTGGTACGGAGCAGCGGCTGTGAATAACATTTACGAATTTACTCCAGCTCGACAACTACCCAGGCCATGGACGAAACAACGACGACTGCCCCGATTCTGCTTTTCGTTCACGGCACCAACTTCTGCAAAGAAATTTGGAGACCGATCGAGCGTCATCTCAAGAAGCTGCCACTGTTGGAACTCTTGCCCCAAATTCATTTTGTGAGCATCGATCTCGCTTACCACGGATCCAACCGCGATGAGAGCATCCCTGTTGTTGTTAACATGGAGGCTGGCACAGCGAAACATCCGGCCAACAAACTCGTCACTTTAAACACAGAGATCATTCTCGGTGAAGTACAACGACTTCGTGCCGCTTTCGGTGAGAGACCAATTGTGGGGATCGGTCACTCGGCCGGTGCGTCAGCACTCTGGAACGTTGAGGTACGAAACCCCGGTACTTTTAGCGGGCTAGTGCTCTTCGAGCCGTACGTCCACAAAGGTGGACCTCGTGACCCCAAGTTCGAGCGCTACATCTTCAACATCGCCATCAAGCGGAAGTACCGATGGGAGACTCGTGGAGCTGCCGAAGCGTACGTTAACAACGTGAAAGCCTTCAAAACTTGGGATCGAGAAAGTCTCGCGTGCTGGCTGGAGGGGGCCATTGTTCCAGAGAAGGAAGGATCGAATGCTGTAGTTCTGGCGTGTCATCCGACTATCGAAGCAGCGGCTTATTGCGGGGAACGACTCTGGTTGACAGACGAGGAATTATCGAGTCTTCCGTGTCTGGTTACTTTTCACAGCAGCGATGACACGTGGCTGTTTGACTATGATCACTTCGCGCATCTCGAGCAGAAATGGCCACAGATATACAAGAACCACCCACCGATGAAGGACACAACGCACAACCTCATCATGGAGAAACCCAAGGCTTGTGCGGAAGCGATTCACGAAGACCTAAAGGAGTTGGAATGCTTCAAGTTAGTGTTTGCAAAGCTGTAGCAAAAGCAGCCACACCACTTGATCACCGCTAGTTTTAGCTGGCAGCTTTCAGTACCGGCACCTTGTAATGACAAACTGATTCGAAAGATCACGCATAATGCAATTCTGGGGAACTCTAACTCTACCCTAACGTATTGCAAGGTTTTGTCACGGTGAAGACCGTGACAAAGCAGCTTTTGTAATGAATGAGGTTTTCGGCACTTGAGGATTTGAACTCAGTTAGAACAGCATCAGGAACGGATGCCGACACCAACAAAAGCCCCGCTTCTGTTGTTTGTACACGGCACCAGCTTCTGCAAGCAAATCTGGAAGCCAATCCAGCACCAGCTCGAGAAGTCGCCGCTCTTGCAACGTGCACAATTTACAAGCATGGATTTGCCCTACCATGGCGCCAAGAGAGACAACAGTGTTCGTGCGGTAGTTGACGAAGTATCAGCTAGTGTTAGGCACCCGGCTGGGGACTGGCTGGCCCGAAATTCTGCTGAGATCTACAGCGAAATATTGCAACTTTATCAAGAGGATACCGAATCTGGTTTCGAGCGGCGGTCAATCATTGGGATCGGTCACTCTGTTGGAGCTGCCACCCTTTGGAATATCGAAGCCCAGAATCCAGGAACGTTTGCCGGACTGGTTCTATTTGAGCCGATTGTCGAGAAACCCGGGACTCGTGACCCGAAGACCCAACGATTCATGGTCAACACTACGCTTAACCGGGAGTATCGCTGGTACGTCATTTGGATGAGCCTCACGGTATTAATTTCCATTCTCTAACTACGTTTACATGCTGTTCGTAGGCCAAATTATGAAGCTGCTGTTCGCTACTGTGAAGACTTCAAGGGGTTTGCGTCCTGGGATCGTGAAAGTCTGAAGGGCTGGAGAGAAGGAGCCATAGTTCCGGAGCAAGATGGGTCTGAATCTGTAGTACTGGCATGCCATCCGACCATCGAAGCCTCCATCTATTGTCAGAACTGGCTGTGGCTATCCGATCATGAACTGGCAAAGATTTCGTGTCCAGTTTCATTTTACGGAGGAGCTCGCTCGAAAGTGTTTGCACATGACTATTTCGAGAAACTGGAACAACGCTGGCCTTGGATCTACACGAACCATTTTCCGATGGAGAACACCTCACACAACCTGGTGATGGAGAACCCAAAAGCATGCGCAAGGGCCATTCTCGACAGCATCAAAACACTTGACTGTTTCAACTCGCAAGAAAAGTTTGAGTTCGTTGGCTGAAAGTTGACAATCCACAAAATTTCCCTCGGATTTAATCCTAGTGAAACTACTGCATAAATTCAAATAAAGTGTTTTCGTTCATACCTCAACGGTGACACCCTAAGGCAAGTTGTCTTTAGGCGCCGCTGTAAATGGCTCGATCTCCGCGAGATCCTGAGCGATCTTCTCTGCTGCAAGCTTCGGGTTCTCCAGCACCAACACGTGCGAATTGCCCTCCATAGGTTCTCGCATCGTGTAGATGTGGGGCGATTTACTCTGCAACGCCTCAAATCGGTCGCGGAACCACATTTTAGAGCGCGATCCCCAGTGGAAAGTGATGGGGCATTTCGGCTGCTGCAGCTCGTGCTCCGTCAACCACAGAGGCGGTTGGCAGTACAAGGACGCTTCGATGTTCGGGTGACAAGCCAGGGTGACAGTACCGTCATCAGCCTCAACTAGACCGCCTTGCAGGTATCCAGCGAGGGTCTCACGGTCCCATTTGGCAAAGTTCCTCAAGTTGTAGAAATGTTCTTCAGCTGCAGCACGAGAGGGCCACGACTTGCCACGTTGAAGTGTCAACCCGACCATAAAGTCGATCATGTAGTCTGTCTCCGGCGAGTTTTGGGCCAGCACGGGCTCGAACAGAATAAGGCTGTCAAAGGTGCCCGGATGAGCGACTTCGGTAGCCCAGAGCCCGGCCGAGCCCATGGAATGGCCGACACCAATGAGTTTATGTTGCGTTTTGCCCTCGGGGTCTTCCGTCATGGTCTTCTCCTTCCAGTTCGCCACCTGCTCCTGTACAGAGCCAGCCACCCACTCGACGAGATCGTGTGTATTATTCCACACCCGGGGAGCTTTCGGGTTGCTAAGATCCACTTCGAACGACTGCACCGCCGCCGGATCGTGCTTGTCACCATGATACGGGAAGTCGAACGTGACGATCTCCGTCGGAACATTCTGCACAACCTGCGACTCCTTCAGTCGACGGATGATCGGATCCCAAGTTTCCTTACAGAACCCGCCGCCATGAGCGAATAGCAGCGTCACCTTCGTGTTTGACATTGTGGTAACTCCGAGAAATTAAAAAGTGAACAGCGAGATACCCCGACCAGGGAAGCGTATGCAACTGTATGCTGAGATTCTTCCGCTTGTCATGCATCTCGAATGGTTGACGTCACCATGGACGTTGAAGCTGCTGATTGTTCAACGGGGGTAGATGTACATGTATCTCCATTTATCAATCCGACAAGATGCCGGTAACGCTGTTGTTCGTACATGGTGGTGGATTTTGCAAGAACTGCTGGGACCCAATTGTGCGACGACTAAAGACTGCGCCGTTGCTTGCCGGCGCCGAGTTTGTGACGTTCGATTTCAAGTGGCACGGCGAGAACTACGACCACTCGGTAGCGGCCCAGGTGGATCGCAGTAACCCAGACAAGCCCCGAGTGGATCATCCAGCCAGAGACATCACGACGTGGGCGCCGCAGCAAGTTTGGAAGCAGGTGCAGCAGATTCGAGCGGATCAACGTGCTAGAGGTCAGAGTGACAAGACGCCGCTGATTGGTGTCGGCCATTCCATGGGCGCTATGGCGCTCTGGAAGACGGAGGTCACACACCCTGGCACGTTTGCCAGTCTCAGTCTGTTTGAACCTGGTTATGGCGTCCGCACACCGGAGAACGACTATACTGTCGACTTCCTCGTGGCGCTAACACTGCAGCGCGAAGCCAAATGGCCGAGTCGAGCTGCTGCAGAGGAGCATTTCTATAACTTGAAGAACTTTGCTCGTTGGGATCGTGAGGCGCTCGCCGGGTATCTTCGTGGCGGTTTAATCGACCAAGCGGACGGCTCTGTCATATTGGCTTGTCATCCGTTGATTGAAGCCTCACTTTACTGCCACACGCCAATGCATCTCAACGACGAACTGCAACAACGTCCTCGCTGTCGCATCACTTTCCACGGAGGAGGCAGGTCTAAGATCCACAACGCGAAAACATTCGGAGAAATGGCGAAGAAGTACCCAAGTATCTATCGAACCGGACCGCTGATGCCAGGACTTTCACATGCTTTGGTGATGGAGGACCCTGCGCAATGTACGCATGCAGTTGTGAAGGATCTGGAGGAGCTCTACCCAACTGGACCAACACAGCCGCAATCACGCATGTAGGAACGCTTAACGATGTTTGTATGATGCGTAGATAGCAAGAAACAAATCAAGACTATGAACACTGTATTTACATGCGGCTCGGTGTTTTCTTGAACGGAGCAGCCTTTATGAGGTCGCTCAAAATCTTGTTCGTCGCTGTCTCGGGGTCCTCGAGTACTAGCAAATGTGTGCAGTCTTTCATCGGCCCGCCGATCGAGTAGATATCGGGGTACAGCTTCATCGCATGCTCAAAATACGGCGTAAAGAACAGATTCGAGCGTTCTCCTCCATAGAAGCGAACACTGCACTTCGGTCGTTTAAGTTCGCTATCGGTAAAGCGAAGAATCTCGTGGCAGTACAATGACGCTTCAATATGCGGGTGACACGCCAATACCGTCTTCCCCTTAGCTTCATCGACGAGAGCTCCTTGCAGATACGACGCCAGCGACTCGCGATCCCAAGAGTTAAAGTTCTTGAGGGTTTCGAAGTACTGCACCGCTTCTTGTCTCGACGACCACGACGCCGTCCGCTGCAGCGTAGTAGCCACTAAGAAACTCGCGATCGTGTCTGTCATCGCCGGGTCCTCTTCGCCATACACCGGTTCGAATAAAATAAGACCGTCAAAGGTGCCAGGATATTGCACCTCCGCGTTCCATAAGGCTCCAGCCCCCATAGAGTGGCCAATGCCAATGAGTGCTGGTCTCTTCCCCACTGTATACTTCTCCTTCAGCATCCGCACTTGACGCTGCACTTCTGCCGTCGTCCACGGCACCAAATCCTGCGCAGGATGGTTTGCTCTCGGACTCGCAGGATTGCTCATTTCAAGCGTTGGCGTCACGGATTCGTCACGCTTCGCGCCGTGATAAGGAAAGTCGAAGGTTACGAACTCCGTCGCCGCTTGTTGCAGGGCGGGGGAGCTCTTCAGTCGACGGATAATGGGGTCCCAGATCTGCTTGCAGAAGCCGCCGCCATGGGCGAAGAGCAGCGTAGCCTCTGGCATCAAAGGAACAAGAAAAAAAAAATGAAAAATGCTGACGTGAATTATTATTTTTGTTTGTTTGGCCACTTCAAGTTGGTAAGGACAGGACCTACAGCCTAGAAGTCTGTGTGTATGGAGCGAACTGCGCCAGTTCTTGGGCGATATTTGCAGCTGTAAGCGCAGGGTTCTCCATGACGACCAAGTGTTTAAGACCTGGCATCGCTTCACGCACTTTGTAGATGTTGGGGCACTTTTTCTCAATTGCTTTGAGGTTCTTCTCAAAGCACATTTGAGAGCGACTGCCCCAGTGCAAGTAGATTCGACATTTAGGACGCTGCAGCTCTGCGTCGGAGAAATGAAGCGCCTTCATAGAGTAGAGCAAGGCTTCAAGCCGCGGGTCACACGCTAGCGTGACAGATCCATCAGGTTGGTCCAATAGTGCGCCGCTCAGATGCGCTGCCAATACTTCGCGGTCCCACGAAGCGAATCCATCGGACGTTGAGAAGTATTCTTTAGCCGCAGCACGCGATGGCCTGGCATTTAGCAAGATAAGCTTACGAACTTAGTGAAAATTTTTTAAACTCACCACACCGAAGGACGTCGAAGTGCCGATGCCACGAGATACGAGCGCACGGTATCAGTTCTCGGAGTTTTTGTATCCATCGCCGGCTCAAAGAGGATCAGCGCGTCAAAGGTGCCTGGATGCGCGATTTCCATCGTCCAAAGTGCCCCAGATCCCATGGAGAAGCCGACACCTACGAGGAAATCTGTTGACTTCCTTCGTAGCTTTCCTACCTGTTCGGGCATTGCCTTCAAGTACCAGTTCTTGACGTCGTCACAGTCGGTTCCTGTGACTCTCGGGGCTTTGAGGTTGCTCGTATCGACCTTCAAAGTCTCCGCTAACTGTTTGTCACTTCGACTTCCGTGGTAGGGAAAGTCAAAGGCTACGAACTTCGTCCCCACACGCTGAGCGACGGGAAATTCCTTCAGTCGACGAAGCACCGGCGTCCACATTTCCTTCGAGAACCCGCAGCCATGAGCGAACACCAGCGTCACCACAAGACGCTCCCCCATTTTAACTCTAAACTGACTGTACCTTTCTAGTTCACACTGCAAAATATGTTAACCTTGTGGATACAATACACTTTTAAAACAGTTTAATACTGAACATTATTGAATTTCAACCTGTATACCTTAGTAATACGTTTTCTAAAACCGAAAACCACATCATTACCTATCGTTCTGGATCCCTATCATGGCGGCCAAGACAGTTCTTATCACCGGCAGCAATCGCGGCATCGGCCTCGCGTTCGCCAAGCACTACAAGACGGAGGGCTGGAAGGTCATCGGCTGCGCTCGTAACGTGGACGCCGCCACCGAAGTAAGCTTCCACCCCATTCATTCCCAATACCACCTCCATCTAACTATACTCCCTCTTGTGTGTCATCAGCTCAAGCAATTGGAGCCGTGGAAGCTGCTAACTCTGGACACTAGCAATGAAGAGTCCATCCATGCAGCGGCCAAGACACTGGAAAACGTTCCTATCAACCTCCTTATCAACAATGCCGGCATCATGGACGTGCACGACCTGCAGTCGACCACCAAGGCGGATCTGCTGCGTCACTTTGAGGTGAACGCTGTGGGCCCGTTTCTTATGACGCGTGCGATGCTGCCCAATCTCCGCCTTGCAGTGAAGGACCAAGGCTCGGCTTTTGTGGCTCAAATCACGTCCAGAATGGGCAGCATCACGGACAACGGGTCGGGAGGTGTCTATGGCTACCGCGCATCCAAGACGGCGCTCAACATGATCACCAAGAGTCTGGCTCTGGACCTTCAGGAGGAAAACATCGGCTGCTTGCTCCTACACCCGGGATACGTCAACACGGCCATGGTCGGATTCCAGGGAACCGTCTTCACCGATGACAGCGTCAAGGGGCTGGCCAGGATCATCGCAAACGCCAAACTTGAGGACTCGGCAAAAATGTTCCACTTTGAAAAGGGAGAAGTGTTGCCATGGTAAAAAGTTCCTATTTCTGGTTTAATTTAGACGCTTTTAGATTGCCAGAATTGAAACCTCCACTTCAAATTGATCCAAAGTGTCATGGCTTCGTTGCCCTCGGTTTCTGGTGATCAGGGCGACCTGCGTGATCCTACCTTGGAGGAATTGTATACAGGTCCAGTTCGTGCACTACCTGATGAGATCCAGCAAATGCCAGCGGAAGACACGGCGTGTACATTCTGTGGCGTCAGCTACTTTGTCTTTGCCGAGGTTCAGGCACTCCAGATTACAGTCAAGCAGTACAAAAAGACCTTCCGAGTGCGTATACCGCTTTCATTGATTCTACTTTAATAGTGTACTAACCGGGTTATAGGATTTTGTGCGGTTTATGGAGTGTGAGCGCTCGGTAGCGCGAGATTTACGACAACAAGTAGCTGAATTGAAAGGTAGTTTTGCAGAACTTGTGGCAACTTGTAGCGCTAGAGTCAAGCAGATTTCAGAGCAGAATGAAGCGTATTGTACAGTCAAACAAGAAGCATTGGACCAGCTACAGCAGCTACGAAAAGAACTTTTGGAATCTGAAAGTTCCCGTCGAGAGCTTCAGATATTATCCGAGCGCAACGAAGAAGAACAAAAATTGTCACACTCACTGGTCGAACAAAAACTACGCAACGAGATTTTGCATTTGTCAAGTCAAATGGAGAGCTGCAAACTGCTCTCTCAGTCACAACAAGCAGCTTTTCAGGAAGAGAATGACCGTGATCAACAGCTTATTCGAGAACTCGAGTCTAAGTTTGTGGAGGGCCAACAACAGTGGACAGCGGCTGAGCGACAAGTTGTAACTGAGCGAGATGTCCTAAAGCAGCGACTTCTGGCCATGAACGAGCGTGTGGAGCTGGAATCGAGTACTGCACGACAGCTGGAAGGCCAGTTAACTGCTATTCGAGAAGAACTTCGTCGAGTAGTAGCAGCTAGCGACACTGAGCGCAAGTCCAGTTCACAAATGAACAGTGAGATTATCCAACTTAAGCATCAACTCCAAAACCTGGAGAAGACGCGAGCTCAACTGGTTTCCGAGAACGGACGATACAAGGACGACAAATACAAACTGGAAGATGAGATTAATACTCTGCGTCTTCGTGCAGATCAGCTGCAAGGACAACTCAGTGTGAGTACAACTTCTACTGAGAAAATAAAGAATGAGTATACTCGTGACTTGGAAAAGTTACGAGGGGAACATGGTAACGAAATCAGTCGTCTTCAACGAGACCACGCGAAAGTCATTGAAGCGCTAAAAGCGAGTCAGAATAATTATCTAGAATATCTGAAGAAAGAGACTGTGGAGCGTCAAGCGAAGGGGGAAGAATCGTCACGTCTCGCGCGTTTAGCGATGGAGAACAGAGTGAGTACAGAGGAATTTCCTGTGAATTATTGACAGTACGTTGACGATTGGATGTTTTGAATTGCCTAGCTAAAGGATGCAGAGCGTAGAGCGAACGATTGGAAAGATCGTGCGTTGCAAAACGCTAGCCAGCGCGAGGTAAATTTACTGCAGTCCATGCTATATCTAGTTTTGGGGACCATGTTGAAAATTCAATTCTCACAATAGGAGGCCAAACGCAATAGTTCACATTACGAGTGCATGATTCAGACGTTGCAGGGTCGGCTCGACACAAGTGAACGTGAAAAGGTGATATATTTTTTCGTACATGTCCATATTTCCAGCTCACATGTTATGTTGATATCGTTTTGCAGCAAAAATTAGTTGAAACAGCCAAAATTGAGCGCGCTATGCTGGAACAAAGATTGAAGAGTGCCCAAGACGAAGTACGGCAGGAAACCAACATTTCACTCCAAGAAGCAGGACAGCAACAAAAGGAACTCCAGAACGAGAATGCAACTCTTCGGCAACAGGTAGATAACCTGCAGAACCAACTGAAACGCCTACGAGACCAGCCTGCAAAGGCAGCCCAGACTAACGTAGCGTGGGATAATAATCAGACTGGTAACAGAAAAGTATGTCGCCACGAATCAAGCAATCGGGACGAGGATAGCCACGAAAACGAGAAGATTATCGAGCAGCTTCGAAGCAGGTTGAAGCAGAAAGACCGGGTACGTTGTTTCTTGAGATCTTGAGCACGCTGAAGTAAAACTAACGTTTTGTCGGTACAAGTAGGAAATTTCACTGTTGCAGCAGACAGTTCATCGTGAATGTATGGAGCGGACATCGCTGCTTGAGAGAATGCGAAGCAGTAAGGTCCTTCCTGAGATAGCAATCTCTTCGCAGGCAGCTCTATCGGACTCAACAGCTTCAAGCAGTTGTAACAATACAGAAGACCACACAGAGCGCTCCGAGCACTCCAGCATCGAGAATCAACAGCCCAAGGCATCATTTTATGAAAAACTTAGGCGGGCAGGATCTCGGAAAGCGAAGCCCAGAAAGTAAATAGTTAGCCGTTAGAAGTAGCAATCATCATCCGTCTCCTCCTCAAGTTCGTCGCCACCACTCGAACTACTGTCATCTTTCATCCAATAGTTCATGCTTCCCTGCATTATTCGAGCGATTCGCTCGGTCTCCGAGTCGTGTGCGAAAAGAGAACGCACAGATGAGGGATTGCTTGTGTTCTCGCTTTGGCTGTTGTATCGTTGCTGGAATACACACATATCGGACGACGAAAGTCGATGATTTTTGCCACTAGTATCAGTTCGTTGTTCCCTGTAGGAATACAAACCTGGCGTTATGTTGGCCACACTTTTGCCACTTAACTGCCTCTGAGACGAAGTCTTCGTAGGATTGCAATTCAACACAGTAGCGGGTTTTAATCCCGACGTGTGTCTCGAGCTTTCAACCAGGATTGAACCTCGTGATCGGAGCGACTGTGGCTCTTGCGTGACGAGTGAACTGGGACAACTACAACGCTTAGCTTCGACTTCCAAGCCGATGTCCACCATGGATTTCGTTGGTAATAATTCTGACACGCTGACGGAACTTTTATCCAAGGAAGTTTTTCGTGCACGATGAGCACTGGGGGGTCTTGAAACGGGAGAACTGGGACAACTGCTATGCTTATCACTGATCCCTCTGGCATGATACACTTCATCCTTCACACTACCAACCGATGCAGATTTTGCTGCTGGCTGACGTAAATATGATTCACGCATCTCGCGCAACATTTCGTACATAAGGTCCAGTTTTTCGTTTGGTAACGTGGTGTGTGTCATACTGGGTTGCTCGATGATAAGAGGAGTGCTTACATGGTCAACGATATCTCGTGGGCTTGTCACACCATGTTCCGCTTTCGGAGTTTTGTCATCCTGCTCTTGCCTAGTAGACATAGTAGAAGCCGAGAACTGGGGTTCTTCTTCCTCCGACTGAACATGATTCTCCTCCGTAAATTCAATCGGGTCGCAACCCACATCAACGGTTATCTTTTGCTCCTCAGCGAAATCTCCAAGATTTGATTCGTCACCACTTTCCTTAAAAACTGTTTTATCAGGTTCGGCCTTCGAGTCCGCAGTTGGGGCAGTCTGCACCGAGCACTCCACCATCTCTACCACAAACCCCAACTCGAATGGGTTAGCCTGAACGGCCTCGTCCACATATTCAGTTTCTGGTACAAGGCTATGATCGGAGCAACTTTCGGTAAGAAGCTCAGCGCCCGCGGTATCAGAACATGGAATACTCGAAGTCTCACTTGGCACATCCAGCGTGACACGGTCCAGTTCTGCGTTAGACTGTGGCGCTTCTTCCTCTGATTCCGAATTATTTCCACTAGGAATGTCCCCAATTTCCATAGCGTCACAACCCACATCAACGGTTGTCTTGGCCTCCTCAACGTCATTATCCCAATCAATTTCGTCACATTCATCCTTTGAGTCTGCAAGTGGGGCAGTCTGGACTGCACAAGCCACCATTTCTACATGAAGCCCCGGCTCAATTAGATTCACCTGGACAGCCTTCTCAGCATATTGAATTGTTGGTGCACACTTGGGACTGGAGGGAATGGAGTCGGGAATTTCGACCTCCCCAGTATTATAATCCGGCAAACTCACAGTCTCACTCGGTACACTGTCGCTGCCACTCGATAGATCCTCAAGTTCCAAACTGTGACCCAGTACTGCACCATCTTCGCTTAAGTGCTCTAATCCTAGGCTTTGGTCAAGTTGCTCATCAGACTCCAAACGGCATTCGGTATCATGGGACTCCTCATTATCACACTCTGAGCCAGGCAATAAGGAGCAGACTGTCCCTCTGGCTTTTTCATTTTCGTCGTCGCTTTCCGGTAGCAAAGAGTGACTAAATTGATCGTCCGGCACAACATTCTCCTCCACTTCTGATTCTGATTGTTCATCGCTCCGCTGAGGTAGAGTGACGGCTGGGTCAGACATTACGTTCTCATCAAGTGATTCCTCGTCTGCAAGACGTGAGAGTTTCGTATCGTGCTGTTCTGGTGTCTCACTTGCACCAGCATCAAACTGGGGCTCAGTATTGAGAGAGCGACTGTCAGATACGTCACCTTCAAGATTAGCAAAATCCATGGTTATCGGCATTGATTCCGACATCCTTGACGTAAAGTAAGTAACCTTTAGCGGAATTGCTGATGGCAGCTTTCGGCACTCAGTAATTCCATTATCCCACACGATCGGGACATCCACATCAGTCCATGATTCTTCCACCCCCATATTCTGCGTAGAGCCATCACTTTGCTGGCGTTTTGTTACCCGTTTCCCAAATGCCTCGTACAAATTCAGTCTCGCCTCACCCATGATTGTTTCACGAGATTGCGTCCCAAAGAACCCATTTTCGACGTGCAATGCAAACAGTATCTGGCTTTGAGGCCCCACCGCAGCCAGATCCGCACGCTCTTCGTTGAGATAGGCTCGTGATCGAAATGTATGGATGAAGCAGGAGTTCAAGTGCCTGTTCACTGCATCCCACCAAAGAGCAAATGACACTCCTTTTATCTTACCCGGAACCTCAGTGTTTCCAGTAAGTACTAGTTGTCCTTGAATCTCACATCCCAAAAGAGGGGAAGAACTCCAGCCACAACGCTGTTGTTTACTCTTCTGTCCATTATGCTGCACCACAGATCGCCAGCTTTCACGAATACCAAGTCGAATTTTGCGCAGAGCTCGTTGATTTCCTCGCGCAGTTTCGTGAACTTCCGGATCTTTAGATGTATACTCCAATTGCTTCTCACTAGTATCAAAGCCATTCGCCTTTCTTGTGGTGATGAATGTTGGTGCTGTTGATTGTGAGTCGGATCCATTTTCCTCATTTAAGAGTGCTACCAATCGTGAATGAATTTGTGACGTTCCTGGTATCGACGCTGACCGGAAGATAGTAGAGTGTCGGAACTGTTTCCGAAACAGCACTCCACGAACGATTCCTTGTAGCTTAACGACGGATCGAATCGTTTTGGCCCATGTAAGAAGCTGTAAAATAGCGTAAAGTAATCAGCAAAGGTATTCAGTCAAGGTAATAGTTCATAAGCATACCTGCTCTGCTGTTCCAATACAAACTCGAGCTCGGAGATATCCAGACAGGTTACCCGAGAACGGATCCTCAACTGGAAATTTGCCATCCACACCAACACAGGGGAGTAACGTCTCAGATAGACTACGCAGATCCTCCTTGTCATGACTAGTACAAGAATTCATCCCACATCATGATGTTAGAAGCAGATCATTCAATGGTTCTTGATGTGTAACAAACCTGAAGAGTGAGGCTAGTTGTTTCAACGGTACTTTTGACAAGCCTAGAAGTCTACGCTCAGCGCTCCTTGCGGTTTGCAGCCACGTTTCTATGATCTTTAGCAGCATGTATAACACCAGCTGGCGATTAGCAATCTATGAAGCACCACTACTGTTAAGCCATGCACAAACGTACCAAATATCCACTAGAGAAAAACTTTTTGGATTCATCGACAAATTCCGACTGAAAAATGTGGATACTTCCACTGAAATCAGCCGATAGTAAAGACATCCAATCAAACCATCGAGAAAATCTCAATTTGCGCGTGATTGACCGATCAAATTTTTTTGATGCAGGAGAAACCCTTGAGAAATGAGAAGGCACGGTGTACCGAAGGGTAATATTTGCTCCATTTAGTACATTTGCACCATCAACACTTTCGTTTGCCATTATAGGGCTGGAATTTAACCTTGCTCGAACAATTTTATCGCCCAATACTGAAAGACTGACATTTGACACGCTCTCAAACATCACCGCGAACTGGAAGGATTTATACTTGTTGCTACTATTCCTCAAAAATGTTCGGTGTTGTGTCCTCTGCTGTACTTCTTGGTGAAGCCGCTGATCAAGTGTATAACCGGACAAGAGGGGTCCTGCAGCACCACCATGCTTCACTTGCACTTCACTTGAGTCTGAGCTGATGGACGGCGGAAGAAAATCATTGTCACTCTCTGCGCTAGGCTCGGAATTTGACAAACGCGCGTCATCGGTCAACACTTTGCTCCATTGGATCGAAGAACCCACAAATTCTGCCACTGTGTCAGGTTCAAATGGTAGTCCTCGGTGGATCGGTTGATCCACCGTATAATTTGTCAAAACAGGGTCTTCATCTTTTTCACCAATCTCTCCATTGTTATCTTTTTTCTTCTCATCTGTTACAGCTCTCTCCATCGACTGCTGCAAAGCCTTCCCTTTCTCCAAAAGCTTTTGAATCCGCTGGAAATGAGCACTATTTTCCACATCGTCTTTTCTTCTGCTCTTTTTCAACTCCTTTTCCTTCTCGATCATTTTAGATTCCACTTTAAATACCCCTTTTGTCTCCTCAGAATCAACAACCTCCACCCAATCCGACACCGGCACTTCAGCATCCAAGTAATCCTCTACAATTCCCATATCATCGTCAATTTTTACATCACTCTCCGTCCACTGGACATCAAACGTCACAGCTAAATACCCCGCCACTTCGCCCTCCTGTCCTTCGCTAGGTTTTATCTCACACAGCACGTTGTCCCTTTTCAGAGCCACCAATTTCTCCTTCATCGTCATCACTTGGTTATCTCTGTATAAATCCAGAGGTAATTTACATTCTCCAAATTGTTTTCTTGTATCTCGATCGATCACGTCCAGAGTCAAGTGTCCCATGTCGTGGAAATATTCCAGTAGCTGCTCCGGCAGAACGTTAACGGGATATTTCATTGCAATAATTCGATGCGGCGAATACAGAGCCTCCGAGTGGACAACTCCATCCCCTGACAGTACTTTCGGTCGGAAGAGGCTACCGGGCGCCTCCTCTCCCCACCAACGCACGCGAACAAACGACTCCCGAGGCAGCGGCGAGGAACTGACAGCACTGGCTAAAATATGCGCCACACAGAGTGTTACAGTGCCGCACCGCCGCCCAGACACTTTAGGAGGGAGAGATTCACCTGTGAGCTCCTGAGGCAATGATAGATAGCGTCTGGATAGCGACATGGAGCGCGGTAACGTGTCGTCCACGTCTGTAGCCATGTTGAACCCCAAAGAAAGTAAATGGATGAATTTCAAACTAGATTTTCATGTTGGTTTTGTGAATTTTCACTGCTAACATGTGATTTCTCGTAGGACACTTTTAGGTAGTTCATCATGACTTGCAACTCCATTAAGTATTTTGAAACTAGCCGAGCGCCGCCGCTACGCGGTGGTAATTTATGTTAGATCGCAATCGCTAAGGCGTCCACTTTGCTTCGACAGGGTTATAAGCTTTCTAAACCATGTTTATCGATTACCCTTAATTTTTTTTCTTTAACACATTTGCCGATTACTTGAAGTATTTCATTTAACCCTACAAATTATTTTATCACGTTACAACTATTTTTATAAAGTACATTCTCCAAGTTGATCAGTGCAATCCACAGGTTAATGTGCTTTGTACTATCATAGCCTCCTGTTTATATTGTGAATTCCGTCCAAATTTGCCGATTTGGGTCTGTTTGAGGAGCGGGAGGACAATCGCCCACACACAAACCCAAAGAACCCACCAAGTCTTTTCTTGCCATCTTATTTCGTACTTAAACGGGTCATGATACGGAATTGAATGCGCTGGGCGATTTGGTGGAGGTTCATTCAAAGAACCGCCCATGGAAATATTGAGTAGAACTCACAATAATTTTACCAACACGTTAAAGCTTTTCTCTCATTCATTGTACACCTTATTTACGAATATTTAGTGATACATGAAGTCTCATGACCAACACTATTAACAAACGTTTTATTGATTTTACATTCACTACCCGATGGTTTGCAGTGTGCAGTCTGGAGTGTTTCCTTAGTTCGTTGTATTGTTCGAACACCACTCCAATAAAAAGGAAATTTATTAACTTGTGTTTGTTGAACCTGTTAGTATCATTGTTTCAAGTCGCCTACTGTTCATGTAGAACTCCCAATTAGCTATGCTAATAGCAGCTCACACGCACAGGTTTCAGCAAAGTGACTTTGCGCTTAACTACTGATATGGTTAAGCTATTTCTCTAAATTATTCTGCGTCATATTAAGTGTCCACGTTTACAGTGAATTTGAGTTCGATTACCATTTAGCGATGATATAAGGTGCCCCATCATGCTTATCTAAAACTTGTCGCATCCACTCTCTGTTCGCAATCACAGCTATTTGCAAACAAAGCTTGTATTCTACATTTTTACAATGTTGTTATAATACTACAATATGTGGCAAATTGTCATAGTTTTTCGCTTAGTTAGAGCAAAGATATTGATCGCTGAAGCGTGTTATCTCGGTCCATTGCAGTATGTTCGACCTCAACTGGTCCAACCTCTTAACCCCTTCAACCCGATGGCCTGTATAAGATGGGTTAGCAAATCCTATGGAAAGGATTATCCTCTAATCTAAGTTGTATATATACAGCCCAGACTTAAGCTTATACTTGATTTTTGTATACTCGCATATTAGTTTCTGCCTG